CTGGGATCATGACCTGAGCTGAAGGCAGATGCTTAACTGACTGAGCCACTCAGGTGCCCTTATTTCTTTCTTTTTTTTCTTAAGTTTATTTATTTATTTAAGTAATCTCTACACCCAACATGGGGCTTGAACTCATGATCCTGAGATCCAGAGTCTCTCTCCTCTGACTGAGCCTACCAAGGTGCTCTGACTCGTCTATTTCTTTTAGGGTGTTTGGTATACTTAAAAAAGAAAAAAGTTCAATTTACTGGCATAAAGTTATGCATAGTGTATATTTATTTTCTAATTTATTTCTAACTTCTAATGTCAGTAGACTCTAGTGATATCACCTCTCATTCTTTTTTTTTTTTAAGATTTTATTTATTTATTAGACAGAGATCACAAGCAGGCAGAGAGGCAGGCAGAGAGAGAGGAGGAAGCAGGCTCCCTGCAGAGCAGAGAGCCTGACGTGGGACTCGAACCCAGGACCCTGGGATCATGACCTGAGCCGAAGGCAGAGGCTTTAACCCCCTGAGCCACCCAGGTGCCCCTCGTTCTTCTTTTCTAATATAGACATTAGTGCTATAAATGTCCCACAAATGTTGGTATATTTTTTCATTTTCATTCACTTCAAAATGCCTTGTAATTTTACTTTTGATTTCTTTTTTGCTTCATGAATTATTTTGAGGCACTTTAAGTACTTTTTAAAATACTAAGGGGGTGGCACCTGGGTGGCTCAGTTGTTAAGCATCGTCTGCCTTTGGCTTAGGTTGTGATCCCAGGGTCCTGGGATTGAGCCCGGGATGGAACCCCGCATCGGGCTCCCTGCTCAGTGGGGAGCCTGCTTCTCCCTCTCCCATTCCCCCTGCTTGTGTTCCCTCTCTTGGTCTCTCTCTCTCTCTCTCTCTGTCAAATAAATAAATAAATAAATAAATAAATGACTTGGGGATATTTCAGATCGCTTTCTCTTACTGATTTTTAATTTAATTCTATTGCAGTCAGAGAGCATACTCTGTATGACTTGAACTCTTTTAAATTGACTGAGATTTGTTTTCCTGACCAGAATGTAGTCAGTTTTGATAAATATTCCATATACTTTCAGAAAAAACATATTCTACTGCTAATGAAAAGATGGTTCTGAAATACTGTGTAGGTCAAGTTGGTTGATGGTATTGTTCACGACTTCTCTACACTTAATGATTATTTTTACAGTTGTTTTGCTAATTATGGAGAAATCTCCACTACAATTTGTATTTGTCTATTTTTTCTTACATGTTCATTAGTTCAGGCTTTGTGTATTTTGAAGTTCTCCTATTAGGCACATAAATGTTTAGGATCGTTATGTCTCCGATCTATTTCGTCTAATATTGACATAGTCACTCCAGCTTTCTTATAACTCATGTCAGCCTTGTCTTTTACCATCCTTTTTCTTTAACCTTTTTATATTAACATATGCAGTCTTTCTTGTGGATTTTTTGAGTATATGAGACAGACACAGTTATAACTGTCTGAATGTTGTTTACTAATTTTTCTGCCTCATTTCTGGGTCAGTTTGTATTCACTGATTCATTCTCATTGTGGGTTGTATATTTTTGCTTCCTTGAGTGATGCCAGGCATTGTTATTTTACCTTGTTGGTGCTGGATTTTTTTTTTAAGATTTATTTATTTATTTGACAGACAGGTCACAAGCAGGCAGAGAGGCAGGCAGAGAGAGAGGAGGAAGCAGGCTCCCCGCCAAGCTGGGAGCCCGATGCAGGACTCGATCCCAGGACCCTGAGATCATGACCTGAGCCGAAGGCAGAGGCTTTAACCCCCTGAGCCACCCAGGCGCCCCAGTGCTGGATATTTTTGTGTTCCTATTCTTCTTCTTCTTTTTTTAGATCTTATTTATTTATTTGAGCGAGAGAAAGAGATAGCGATAGGCAGCACCAGCGAGCGAGAGGGAAAAGCAGACTCTCTGCTAAGCAGGGAGCCAGATATGGGGCTCAGTTTCAGAACCCTGGTATTAGGACCTGAGCCAAAGGCAGACACCCAACCAACTGAGCCCCCAGCCCCCGCCCCCAGCGCCCCTGTTTATTATTCTTGAACTTTGTGCTGGGATGTAGCTGAGTGACTTAGGAACAATTTGATCTTTTCAGGTCTTATTTTTGGCTTTGTCAGGTGAGACCAGAATGGCATTTAGTTTACAGCTCGTTTTACTTTGTACTGAGGCGAGGTTGTTTTGAGCGTTCTTCCCAACACTCTGTGACTTGTGGTGTTTTCCCGTCTGGCCGCTGAGAGCTTGGCCTGTTGGGAGTTCTGGGGATTGTTTCTGCTAATCCTTCCGGGTAGGTTTTCCCTGGCTTTTGGTAATTTCTTCTTAAACATGGTGCTTGTATTAGTTTTCCTCTGCTGCTGTAACAAATTACCAAAACCCTCATAGCTTAAATGACATATGTTTAGTACGCTAAGGTTCTTGAGGTCAGAAGTCTGATGTGGCTGTCACCAGGCTAAAATGCAGGGGTCAGTCAGGCTGTGCTCTTTTCTGGGTTCTCTGGGGAGAATCTGCTTCCTGCTTTCAGCTTGTTGGCAGAATTCGGTTCGTTGTGGTTGTAGGAACAGAGGCCCTGTTTGATCACTGCCTGTGGACTAAGGGACACATCGGACTTTTAGTGGCCGCCCACGTTATGTGGTCTGGAGACGCCTTCCTGTTTTTAAAGCCAGCCATGGTGGGTTGGGTCCTTCCCACACGTAGAATTTCTCCTCCTCTTTCCATGTCATCCCTTGACCCTGCTGGGAAGGGTTCTCTGCATTCGATGACTTACTTATAATCCCTCCAACCACAGGGTTTGTACCCTTAATCCTATCTGCTGAGTCCCTTTTGGCACAGACGGTAACACAGCCACAGGTTCTGGGGGTGAGGACATGGTCATCTTTGGGGACATTTTTCTGCCACCCAGCATTGACCAGTGTAAGTCAACTGAGTGACCAAGGACCCTCTGCAGGTCTCTGGAGTTCTCACTTGTACCAGAGTCTGCAAACCGGCAGGACTAGGTCTCCCAAGATATTCCCAGTGTGTCTCAACTCAGGTGTATTGCTGAGTCCTCCTGATTTCTGGATGCACCCCCCAGGCAGTGAGCTGGAGTGGTCGAGGGCTCCTGGCCTTCATGTCCTGATGTCCGTCACCGAGGTGACTGAGAACTACTGTTCCTCTTGAGTTGTTTGGGTTAGGAGAGCAAATTGGTGCGTTCCTCCCGACTGGGCTAGGAGCTCATGTCTTCTGCTTGTTTTCTTATTTTTTCTCCTGTTGGAGTTGGGTGCGCATGGCCTTTTGCACTTCTCTGAAGAGCGCTCCAAACCTGCTGATCCCAAGTTGGTTTACCCTGGTTCCTTCCCGGGTGGTGGAGGGAGGCGGCCATGGCCTCCGTGGGGTGAGGCCTCTGCTCCAGAGACCACAGCTTGCCCCGTGGCTTCAGGCCTAGCACTTGGGGTCTAGGTGCCGCCCGGCGGTGCGCGACCGCCTCTGGCAAGTATGTTTGGGCTCTTGTGGCACTTGCTGCCAGCGAACCTCACACCCCGCCCGACAGCCGTGGCGTTTCCAGCCCTTGATGCTTGGGGTTTGCGGTTTTTGCCTTCTTGCTTTGCCACAAATGAAATGTGTGTTTCTATGTCTTGTTTCCCTTGTTACTTTTAGATGCTTTCCAGGCAGAAAGGGGAAACACCTTGCTGATGCCAGCGTCTTTAAGCCAGTCTTCTCCATCTGCTTTCTAGCTGCTTGTGATTCCTGGAGATGCCTGGCTTGCTAATTTTATCTTGTTTTCTAGTGCTCTTGTGGATTTACTCTTTTAAAACTTGCATCCTTGGGACACCTGCTGGCTCAGTCAGTAGAGCATGTGACTTTTTTTTTTTTTTAAGATTTTTTATTTTATTTATTTGACAGAGAGAGAGAGAAAGCACATACAAGTAGGGGGAGTGGCAAAGGGCGAGGGAAAAGCAGGCTCCCCACTGAGCAGAGAGCCTGATGCGGGGCTCGATCCCAGGACCCCGGGACCATGACCCGAGCCAAAGGCAGAGGCTTAAGGACTGAGCCACCCGGGCTCCTCAAGATTTATTTCATTTAGAGAGAAAGTGTATGAGGGAGAGGCAGAGGGAGAGGGAGGGAGAGTCTCAGGAAGACCTCCACTGAGCGTGGAGCCTGACACGGGGCTTGATATCGCAACCCTGAGACCGTGACCTACACCGAAACCAAGAGTCGGTCGCTCAACCGACTGAGCCCCCCAGGCGCTCCGAAAGCTGTACCTCTTCAATGCCATGGGCCATCTGGACAGTCAGTCTCTGGTGGCAGGGCACCCGCTAGACCCCTGTGCTGCCCACCCAGCCTGTCCGAGCCACGACGAGGCTCGTTCTGCGTCCTGCTGGGGTTCTCGGCTCCGTGGGTCCTGAGCCTGCGGTGATCAAGGCTGTCACTCTTGGCCCTTGGGGCAGGTTTCTTTGCCCACACAGACTGCTGGTGACTTCTGCCTTAGGTGTGCCCCCATCCTCTACACAGCTCAGGGAGATGCCGTAGGTGGAGGCAGTGCCCACACTTGCCCAGGTCACCGCATGGGGCTGACGTCACCCCGGTGGGGCTGCTGGGGTCGGGGGGCAGAGGACAGCTGGCAGCTGCTGAGGGACGCTGCCTCCTGTCCCCCGTAGTGGTGCCGCCCCGCTGTGGCAGCTAGCTCCCGTGGGAAAAGACACTGGAATCGTGGGGTTTTTTGATGAGGGCTTTTTTTTTAATTTTATTTTTTAGAGAGAGTGCATGTGAGTGGGGGAGGAAGGGGGGACGGGGGCTGAGAGAGAGTCTCAAGCAGACTCCTCGCCGAGAGGGGAGCCCGACCTAGGGCTCGATCCTGAGACCCCGAGATCGTGACCTGAGATGAAATCAAGAGTTGGAGGCTTAACAGGCTGAGTCCCCCACCGGCGCCCTGAAGTCATGTTTTACACAGACGCGGTGCCCGCCTAGAGACGCAGGCGGCGTCTGACCTGACCGCTGTGTTTTTGCTTCCTCGAGGTTTGGGAAGAAGCTATCCGCGCGCGCTGGGGCTGAGGCGGAGGCGAGATGACCGAGTCCTATGTGAAGAGTGAGTGCGGAGGCCCCTCAGGCAGGACGCAGGAGCACCCGGCGTCGGACGGCGTCTCTGGGAGCCACTAGGGGCCTGGGCTGCTCCCAGAAGGGGCAGCTTTGCACCTGGCCCCGAGCCCGTAGCGCCGGCGTTTAGAGCAGCCGTGGTCCAGCGGGGGCAAGAGACGTGGAGCGGTCAGGGCCTGGGGAGTCAGGTCAGGGTGCGGCTGGCCAGAGCGCCCTCAGAGCGGGCGGCCCGTGGGTGCCAAGCAGACCCCGGTGGGCAAGGGGGTGGGAGGCGGCGCCCCGGGGATGGCTGGTGGAGGCAGGCGAGGTGGCCGGGCAGTTGCTGAGGCAGCGGGGATGCGCAGGGGAGTGAGGGGCCCGGCAGTGGGAGGCCAAGGCAGTGGCTGGCAGGGCGGGCTGGGCCTGAGCACACACGCCGGGCTTTGTCGTTGCAGAGCTGGCCGCCATCCTGCTGGACGCCATCACCGACAAGGACCCTCTGGTGCAGGAGCAGGTGTGTGGCGCCCTGTGCGCCCTGGGAGAGGCTGCGCCGGAGGAGGCGCTCGGTGCCTGCGAGGAGTACCTGCGGCAGCATGAGAAGGTAGTCCCTGCCCAGCGGGGACGGGCACGGGGGCGGCGTCTGTAGGTGACGGTGGGTCCCCGGCTGTGCAGTCAGTTGCTGTGGGCAGAAAGCTGCATTCCCTTGAGGTGGGGAATTTCCAGGACAGATGAGACCCCTTGTCTTGTGGCCAGCGCCTCGGCCAGTGTGGGGGCACCGGCTGGGGGCGGTGCCGCATCCAGCAGTCACACACAGGGGATGTGTTGCTGTCCCTGGTCAGTCACTGGCCAGAGATTGAACCGCTCTCCCTGCCAGGGTCTGTGCTGTCCCCCAGGGAGAGAAGGCCCCTTGTCATCAGCTGAAGTGGGACGAGTGTTCCGTGGTAGAGGTGAAAGTGGGGGCTGCCCCAGGAGATGGGGCCTTTCCCTCACCCTCCTGCTGCCTGCTGGCAGGGCAGGGGCCAGGCAGGGGCAGCAGACCCCCGGGGACCTGTGTGCTGCCTGTGCCCCGGGGGGGACCCTGTCGGTGCTGCCGGAGTGCCTCCGAGCCAGCGCTCCTCCTGGCCTCACTGCTGTCTGCTGGGTCTCGGCTCCGTGGCACTGTGACGCTGCTGGGTCCCTGTGCACTGCCTCTCGTCTGTCTCAGCATGTGGTCTGGGCTCTTCCCGGCAGGGAAAGGCACTTCTGCAGCCTCCAAAGACTGTTTCTCTTTCTGTGATTTGACCCCCAGATGTGGAAAAAGGGATCTCTCTGCAATGGGAGGTCATTCTCTCTCGTGTTTCGGTTGCCATCTCCTGGGGGAGGAGCTCTGTCCCCTGAGCGGCCACTGAGCTGATTGTTCCTGGGCGTCTGTGTTGGTGTAGGAAGCTAGGACTGCCTGCGGGCGCCGGGGCTAGAGACGCACTGTTCTTGGTGCGAGAGCGCGCCCCCACGTGTGGGCACCGTGCGCCCACCGTGGCTCTTCCGTGGCTCCTTGGAGCTTCTGTGCTGGGCGCCAGTGCCCTTCTCATGACTCAGAAGGGGCCGGCCGTGATGTGCTGAATTAGCGTCCGATGGGACCGCAGATTGGGGCCACCCCAGCCGCTGGAGGGGCTGGCCAAGGAGCGCTTACTGAGGGCAGCTACAGGAGCCCTTGTTGGTTTTAGTGATTCGTTGCAAAATTTAAGTGGGCTTCATGCTTGTCATTTTCTAGCTCACTTATGATTTTATCCCACTTCTAGCCTTTCGGTTTCTTTAACCAACTTAAAAATAAAAATCTTCGCCCATATTTGCACATTTGCGGTAAACGTGCGCTCAGTGGGCAGCTCTGTCCCGTGGAAGCGTGCTCCTCTCCGGGCGCCTCTGTCCCCCAAAGGCCGCTCCAGGGTCTGCCGCTCCTGTGCTCCATCCCAGCCTGGCTTCATGGGGCCCCTCCCTGGAGGGAGCGTGGGCAGAGCATGCGCGGGGGCGCTCAGGCAGGGGCGGGGAGCGACTGCGGGAACAGAGGCAAAAATCGCCATCCGGGTCTGTCGCGCTTACTCCGACAAGAGCAGACTTGGGCTTGTCCCAGCTCCGGAGGCCAGGAGTCCCAGGTCCCCCTGCTGGCAGCTCCCATGTGTGGCGGGGACCCACTTCTTGGTGTACAGACCTCCATCTCCTCACCATGTCCTCACACGGCAGAGGGGAGTGGGGGCTTTCTGGGGTCTCTTCAGAAGGCACTGATTCCCCCCGTGGGGCTCCACCCTCGTGACCTACTCACCGCCCGAAGACCCTGCTCCCACTGCCATCCTCGGGGCTCGGTTCCCTCACAGGCATTCCAGGGGCCAGTCTCAAGCAGTAGAGAAGCCCAACTTGCCGGTAGTGACCGAAGCTTTTCTTCTCTTTGTTCTGCTTCTTTGGGCTGGTTTCAACGTCGTGTGCTCCCATCTGGTTTTCTCTAGAGTCTCATCCTAATATAAGAGGCTCGTAACCGGCCACTCGTCAGCTCGCTCCAGGTCTGCACGCGGAGGCTGCGTGGGGCCGCAGCAGTCAAGCCCGGGTGTGGGGGTGGCTCCTGTCCCCCCGGGCCACTTGGCTCAAACCGTGTGAACCCACCTCCCCCATGAGAAGTGGAGTGGATTCTCTGGTCACGGAAGGGATTGAGAGCCCGACGTCAGAACACAAAGCCGCGGCGGCCACTGCTGCAGCCAGAGGGGGTTGCCCGCGGGGCTGTTAGCCCGCCAGGACGGTCCGAGTCTGCTGGAGGGGGCAGCTTTGGCATCTCAGGTCAGGGCCTTAGATGGCTGCGGGGCTCACCCCGTGCCCTGGGACCACCCGTGGCCAGGCCCAGCCTACACATGGCCCGGGTGGCCAGGTCAGTCTCTTTAGCAGGTGTGGTCCGTTGGGGGGAAGGGACAGAACAGTGTGTCCTCTGGCAACCCGCCACACGACTGTCGAGCCGGAAGTCTCACACACGCCCACTCTGGGCCCGGATTGGCAGCTGGCGAGCCCCGTGCGCTGTCCCCATCTGTCCAGCTCAGTTCCTACTGCGCTCGGATGACAGAGGGGCTGTGTTTTTTTTTTTTTTTAAGATTTTATTTATTTATTTGACAGAGGGAGAGAGATCACGAGTACGCAGAGAGGCAGGCAGAGAGAGAGGAGGAAGCAGGCTCCCTGCCGAGCAGAGAGCCCGATGTGGGGCTCGATCCCAGGACCCTGGGATCACCACCCGAGCTGAAGGCAGAGGCTTAACCCACGGAGCCACCCAGGCGCCCCGGGGCTGTGGTTTTATCCCTGTGCGCGCAGGGCCTGTGGAGGCCTGACGGAAAACCTCTGTGGGAAGCCGACAAGTCTCACTCTGGCGTGAGTGGTGCTCTGCCGGTTGGACTTCCCAGGGCAATGGAAAATGGGGGGGTGGACCCACGTTTTCTTTAAAAATAAGCCGCTGTTGTAGTCTCTGTCAAAATCCCAATGACCTTTTTTTGCAGAAATAGGAAAAGCCATCGTAAAATTCCTATGGAATCTCAGGGGACCCAGGATAGCCCGAACAGTGTTAAAAAAGAGCAAAGCCGGGAGCTCACGCTTTTTGACCTTAGAACCTGCTGCAGAGCCACTGGAGTCAGACAGGGCAGTGGAGATGGGTGTAGAGACAGACACGTAGATGAGCAGAATAGGACTGAGAGCCCAGGAGTAAAGCCTCGCGTGTGGTCGGATGCAAGGGAAGAAAACAGAAGACTAGAGCTTTCCCCCTGGGAATCTAGGGCAGATCATGTGATCTGTTCGTATATCTAGAGATGTTTCTGATGCGTTGGCTTTTTTCAGGAGCAAAAGTCTTGTCCATTCCTGGGGCCTACCCTGGGAGGGAGCTTGCGCTCCGGACTGAGCAACGGCCCTGTCGGCCATATGCCCCTGCTTTCCTAGGCTCTTCCAGCCCGAGGCGTCTCTCTACCTTGCCACTTTGTCTCTGGTCCCGCAAGCTCAGTCCTGTCTCAGCGAGGGCCCGGGTACCACCCACTGCACAGAGTGCCCCCATCCGCCACCGGGATGCTGCATTCCTGGGGGCTGGGGAGTCCTCGGGAAAGGCCAGTCTGGGTCTTCCCCGCCCCCAGCAAGTGTCTTGCCCTCTCCTCCAGACTCTGAGCGCCTGGGGACTCCTGGCTGGATGGAGTCTTCCACATGGCTGGGCTGGGCTCGTCTCCACAGCTCTGTCATCACAGTAGGGTGTCTGGGCTTCCTTGCCTGCCCCCCCCCCCCCCAGGCCCCACCTGCAGCTTTGCCATCAGCACACGTCCTCAGTCTGGGCGAGGATGAGTGCCCGGTGGCGTCGCCGCTGCGAGGTGCAGACGTGGACTGTGTCTGGGCCGGTGGCAGGGCTTGTGCAGGGTCCGCCCGGAGCAGAGGAGAAGCCCCAGTGGTGGCTGGGGGCGGCCCCCGGGGCACAGGGGCGGGGCGGCACCATCATCTCCCATGTTAGTCTCAGGACCCTTGGGTGTATTTGCCAGTTTGGGGAGGGCCGTGACAGACGAGGCTCCCTGGGTGGGAAGGGCCCCAGAGTGAGGAGAGGACCCTCGGGTGGGAGGGCCAGCCAGGTGGTCTCTGACAGGTGCTCTCTGGGAGCCCAGAGGATGCCTGGTGACAGAGACCTCTGCTGTGATGGGGCGTCACGGGGCAGTGCAGCCTCTGGCTGGGAGATCCTGGCCACAGCGGGGAGGGCTGTTGTCACCCCTCGTGAGTCTCGCACAGAACTCTCCTGGCACTGCTGACAGTCAGGTGCCTTGAGTCCCTTTCGCGGTCCTTGCTGGGCGAGGCACTAAGGCGCTGGGCGCACGAGGCGTGGTCGGGCGTGCTCCTTTCTGCCCTGCTGGGGCGGCCGCTTTTGTCCTGAGGAGCCCTCCAGAGAAAGCAGGAGGTGTCAGCAGGATGCCTGGGTGCTGGGCTCGCCTTCCAGGACCTTCCTCCCTGGTCTCTCTGCTCAGCTGGCACACCCTTACCGGACGATGATCCTGAGGGCCATGGAGGTGGTTGTGAGCAGCCACATCGGTGAGCTGGACAAGGCCAAGGCCAGGGCTGTCACCCTCCTGGCTTCCAGTGAGATGACCAGGGCGAAGGTATGGCTGCACCTGCGTGGCTTGGGGCGGGAAGCTGCTTCCCTGGAACTCTATACCAGGTGCACCAGGCATGCGGTCGCCCGTGACTAGGGGCAGCAGTCGAAGTAGAGAGCAAAATTCCTAAACTCTCAGGGCAGCTGTGAGGGCAGGGGGGCCTGCATCCCAGTTTTTGGGGATGCTGCTGGGCTCCCCACAGGGCCTGGTGCCCAGTGCCGGCTCCTTGTGGTGGGAGTGGCAGGTGCTTGTTGGCCTCTCCTGGGCGGGGGAGTGGGGTCCTGTGTCCTTCGTGAGCTCAGGGCGTCAGTGCACATTTGGGGGGGCAGGAGTTGGTCTGTGACTGGCAGCGGGCCGCCAGCAACGTCCTGGTGGCCGTCGGAAAGCGGTTCGTCGGCACGGTGATGGAGGAGCTGCTGAGCAAGTTCCAGCCCGGGGCCCTGCCCCACTGCTCCGTCGTGCAGACCCTCGCCAACCTCGCAGCCTCCAATGGTAGGTGCCGCTTGGCCCGCCTCCGCCTGCATCCCGGAGCCTGTCGGCAGGGCCTCTGCACCACCTGGCCCAGGCCCCTCTGCCTCTCCGGTGGGGTGCGGGGAGGCCAGGCCAGATGAGGCGGGGGTGGCGGGTGCCCCCTCACGCACCCCCCTTTTGCAGTGTTCGGCATGGTGCCCTTCCTGACGTCCCTCCTGAGTACCATGCTGCCCATGCTGGGCATGGCCAAGCACGACGCAATGAGGGTGGCGTTCTGCTGTGGTAAGATGGGGTCTCTGAAGGCAGGCGAGGCCTCCGGGGGGGGCTGGGACCCTTCGTGGAGGGTCATGAGTCCTCTGGGCTCCAGGAGGAGGGCAGGGCGCCGGCGGGTGCCCGCAGGCGTGCGGGTGGACACTCGGCCTCTGCCTCTGGCGGCCCTGGGTGCTGGTGGGGGCTGCGCCACCCCGCTGGCAGGTCCCTGAGCCCGGACGGCGGTGGGCGCGCGGGAAGAGGCCTCCCCAGAGCCGCAGGCGCTTCCCGCTTTTCTCCCTGCGCAGTGCCGGACGCCTCGGAGGGCGGGCTCCACTCCGCCCTCCTCTGTCTGCTGCCCTCCTCGGGGCTGGCAGGGGCTGGGCGTCCCTCCACGGCCGCAGCACCGCCGTACCCTGCGGCGTCCTCGGGAGCCCTGCCGGCTCTGGCACCGAGGGGAGGGCCGGGGGCGCCGGGGCAGCCCAGACCCTCAGAACAGGACTCTGCTTAGGAGGGTCCCGGACATGGCAGGGGCTGGTGACGGGCTAGAGTCAGGGTCCACCCGGAGCTCAGCTGAGGGGCTGCTTGCTCTTTGCCAGCCGGACTTGTCCTGCTGTTGCCACTTGGTGCCCTGTAGGTGGGCTGGAGCCTGGGAAAGCTGCCAGCCTGTGTGTGCCTGGGGGCATCGAAGCAAGGGACTAGAGCTTTGAGCGCTAGCCCACCCTGCTCACAGTGGCTTTGGGTCCTGGGTTCCAGAATGGGGCTTCAGCTTCTGCCACCCTCCTTATGGCCCCTCGTTCACATCTCACTTGTCCCTGCCGTGGCCTCCTTCCTGCCTTCTCCTCGGTTCCTCCCGCTGCACGTGATGCCAGACTCCTGGGTTGTATACAGAAACCCTCCTTGACGCAGTTCTGGCTGAAAAGACAGCTTGTGACAGGATCCCGGGGTTAGCTGAGCCGGCCTCTCCCACTGAGCGGGGACGCGGAGCAGGACACAGAAGGGACAGGCCGTGTGGGGTGTGGGGGCACGAGTCCCCGTATATACTTAGAGGTGCGGAAGACAAGGCAGGGCGTTGGGAGGCCATCTGGGATGGGTGCATCCAGGCTGAGAGGGAGGGGAGAAGAGCCCCAGGGCACAGTCACCGTCCGCCCCACGCAACTCCTCGGGAGGGCGCAGCGGTCTGCAGCCGCCCGACTGGAACAGGAGGGTGACCTGTGGTGACGAAGCCCTGATCCCTTCCCCATGGCAGTTTTTACTCCATCTGTGTCTTCTCTCGTGTGTGAAGCGGGCCGGTTTCACCAGCAGACTCAGCCGTAGGACGTCCCCATAGCAGGCTGCGGGCCTCCTGTCCTGGCGGGCAGGCCTGTGTCCCCTGAGGACGATGGTCCTGGGCCAAGCACAGGACCTGTACACGCTCTAAGGCCCTCACTGGTTGAGTTCCTCGGACCCTTGAGTCGGGGGCGGGAAGAGCTGGGATGAGCAGAGAGGGAGCTGGTGTTCCCCAGAGGCTGCGTGTTTGAGGGGCCCAGCTGTCCCGTGGCCCTGACAGCCAGATTAGCGCCCGGGGACATGAGAGGGGAGGGGAAAGCTGGCGAGAAAGGAAAGGCACCACTAACTCCTCGGGGAGGCGGGAGGGGGGAGCGGAGCGTGTTGCCAGAGAGCACGGCTGCGCTTTCCGGGGTGACAGACACAGTGACGGGGCAACCAGAGATGGAAGACGAGGCGGAGGAAATCCCCAGAAAACAGCAAAAATGCAAGCATACGGAAAGTAGAGAAGGGAGGACCGGCGTGACGTCGTGTCCAAGCAGGCCCCTTTGGAAGAGCGCACGGGGCAAGTGGGCACGGGGGCTGCCCAGGCGTGGCCCGGGGCGGGGGTGCCAGGCGGCGGGGCCCTCCGGCACCCACACCAAGAAGCTTTGTGGGGCGGCCCCTCCCTCACGCAGAGGAGGGTGCCGTGCACCATGGACTTGCACCCTGCCCAGAGGCCATGTGCAGGGCCCTGTCCACGGCCAGAGGAGGCCCCAGACGCGGGCAGGAGGTGCAGGAGACGCAGGCTGGCGTGGCGCGGGATGGCTGCCCTCCTCTGGGGGAGGCGGTGTGGAAAGCTGCAGACCCATCACGCATGAGAGAAAGGTCCGCTCCAATGCTTGCTTCTGGAGAAAAGGAAATCGAGGTGGGGGAGGGCATAGGAGAATGGCTGTACGACCTTCGTGTGTGTGTGTGTGTGTGTGTGTGTGTGTGTGTGACAGGTAAAACCTAGTAACAAAGCGGGGAAGTTGATTTCTGCTTCTGGGAACAGTGGTCTGTCACCCTGAAAAACCTCGCTACAAAATGCTAAGAAATGCCGGTCAGCCTGACGACCATCCTGATGAAGGAGCTCAGAGAGGCGAGAGCATCGGGGGGACAGGACGAGAGCGGGCTCTGGCCCCACTCCACGTGGCCAGCAGCCGTGCGGCAGGTGGGGGCGCGTCTGCCCGGGCCAGACCCTCCAGAAACCCGTGATGACACAGAAGGGCTCCAGGACATGGTTTTCTCCTGAAGTTTTTTTATTTTTTTTTAAATGTTTTATTTACTTGAGAGAGAGAGAGAGGGCACACAAGCAGGGGGAGTGGGAGAGGGAGATGCAGGCTCCCCGCTGAGCACAGAGCACAGACTCGGGGCTCAGTCCCAGGACCCCGAGATCATGACCTGAACCGAAGGCAGATGCTTAACGACTGAGCCAGCCAGGTGCCCCTCTTCTGAAATTTCTTTAAATTCTCTTTCTTGGGAACTCAACTGACGGCCCTTGTGTACATCGAAGGGTTGGGCTCATTCTTTGTTGGACTGGGGAGCCCACGCTGGGAATTTAGCCGTGTAAGTCGGCCACGTGAGAGCTGGGCTGGACAGGCTAGCGGGTCTGCCGGGTGAGGTGGCAGATCCCTGGGGGTCGCCTCCGAGGGGACTCACAGGCTGGTGCGGTGCCCTCCCCATGAGGCCTGGGAGTCGTCGGCCCTCCTGGCCACTGCCCGGCTGCTCCACTACCCAGCCCTTAGCAGGGCCACACGGAGCGGGGCTACACGACGGGGCCCTCGCTCGGCCTTCCCTTGACCCAGCGTCAGCCCTTGCTGACCACTCCTAGGCCTTCGTCTCTGCCTAGACTCGCCCGCCTGGATGTCCACAAGCGCAGTCACCGTGGGAGACGCGGCACGCTGCCCCCGGCCTGTCCCACCCCAGCCTGGGCCCTGCGACCCCGGCAGAGTGAGCGGCACTTGTGGCCATCTGGGAGGGGTGAGGGGGGCACGGCGCCTCTGCCTTTTGCCTTACAGCCGGCTGCCGTGGGCCGGGCGCTGTGAACCGAGGCCGTCCGGCACTGGTTGGTACCCGTGTGGGTTTCCCAGAGCCGCTGTGACACAGTACCCCAAATTAGGGCGCTTCGGTGAGAGAAATGGGGGCGCCCGGTTGGTTCTGTTGGTGGACCGTGTGACTCTTGGTCTCAGGGTTATGAGTTCCAGCCCTACGTTGGGTGTAGGAATTACTTAAAAATAAAATCTTTAAAAGAAATATAAAAAGATAAAAGTGTTCTGTCATGGTTCTGGAGGCCAGAAGTGTGAGATAGCTGTTGCCAGGGTTGGTTTCTTTGGGGCTCAGAGGCTCTGCTCCCTGGCCCCCCCGCCCCCCACTAGCGTCTGGTCTGTGCCCTGCTGCCACCCCGCTGTCTCCTCTCTGTGTCTCTGTGTCTGTGTGTTCTCGTCTAGGGACACAGTCACGTACAATTTAGGGCCCACCATACCCCGCCTCGATCGCAGCTTAAGCAGTCGTATCTGCAGAGAGCTGCTTGATTCCGGGAAGGACGTGGGTGTGGCCGCTGTGCTGAGGGGGCGGCTTGCAGGTGGCTGGGGGCGCTGTTGTCAGGGTAACCGGCGCCCTCACCCCTCACCCCTGCGACAGCTCTGCAGCACTTCAGCGAAAGCATTCTGGAGTACCTGGCCGACCTGGACCAAGCCCCGGACCCCACGGTCAGGAAGGACACCTTTGCCACCGACATGCTCAGTGCCTACGACATCCTCTTCACCCACTGGCTGCAGAGCCGCGAAGCCAAGGTGGCCCTCGTCAGTGTGTCCGGAGCCCGTGGTCCCCTCACTGGCCGCCTCCCCCACCAGCGGGCCCTGGGCTGCTGTCCACACAGGCTTCTAGTCCCTTCTGTGTCCTGCCCTCGGCTCGGGGTGGGGGTTGCATTGGGGAGTGGGGGGTGCCCTGTGCAGGGTCCCTACAGAATACGGCTTGTTTCCTGCCCTCCTACCCCTCTCTGCCTGGACGCGGCTCATTGCCGGGGTTGGGGCGGGGTGGACTCCTTCACGGCCTCCCTCCCTGGCCACTGTCCAGACCCTGGCTGTGTGTGGTCACGCTGACCTCTTTGCCTCTGGACCCCTTTCGGACCCCTAGTCGTGCGGTCACGTGGCTTTCCTCACTTCCGGCCCTGGGTTCTTGGCGGAGGGGCCTTTGCCTCTTCCCCCCCTTGGGTCAGTGCTTTGACCCGAGCGGCATGGTGCTCTCTCTCTCAGCTCCGGCTCGCTGTGCTGGAGGCCCTGGGCCCCATGAGCCACCTGCTGCCTGGCGAGAAACTGGAGGAGCAGCTGCCCAAGCTCCTGCCCGGGGTCCTGGCCCTCTACAAGAAGCACGCGGAGACCGTCCACGTGTCCAAGGTGCGCACCTGCACTCCGTGGCCTGGGCGGAGCTCTGTCCGGGGAACTGGGCCCCACCTGGCTGGGACGGGAGGGTGTAGGCACCTGGGAAGGGCGGCTCAGAGTGCTGTTGGAGGTGGTGGTGGGTAGGGCCCGGTCACACTTGTCACTGCCCTGCCCTGCCCAGGGGTCCTTCACCTCGACTATGCTGCCTGTCCCGAGACTTGCCCACCTCTCTTAATTCTTGACTTGGACGTAGGTCTCACTTACCTGAGTCCTGGAGTGGGGTCTTTGTGTCCAGGAGGTGGGGCTGGGGGCTTGAAGTAGGACCGACGGCTCCTGTCCTCTGTATCTGAGCAGAGCCTGGGCCAGATCCTCGAGGCCGCGGTGAGCATGGGCAGCCGCACGCTGGAGCCACAGCTGGACTCGCTCCTGGCCGCTCTGCATGCTCAGGTAGGGTGCACGGGACAGGAGCGGGGGGGGGCGCCTGTGGCTGCGCAGGCTAGGGTTCCACAGGGAGGGTGCAGGGGGGCACCTTGGGGACGGGGCTGGTAGGACGGGGCAGTTCCTGGTGCTGCCTGTGGCCAGGTCTTGGGTGCAGATGCCTGCTGAGGCGTGCAGGGGGCAAGAGTGGGGTCCAGCCTGGCAGCGCTGAAGTTGGGGCATCGCCTGGGCCATGGGTGTGACCCCCAGACTGAAGCTCCTCCCCGGCAGGAGTGGGCAGAAGGCGGGAGAGAGGCCGGAGATGGCCCGGGGGCATCTGCCCTGGCTGTGGGCCACTGGCCATGGAAAGGGGAGGGGTCCTGAAAAATAGGGGGCTGGGCTCCTGTGGGCCATGAGCTGTGCAGCCCTCTTTCTAGGTCAGAGGAGAGGTGTGGAGGTCCCAGGAACAGAGGTGGGTGGGTGGAGTGGTAGGTAGTCCTTTCCACAGACTCTGAAAGAGAAAAGAGGGGCATAAAACGAGAGAGAGAGGAGGGGGCGGGCATGGGCCTCCTTCCTGCTCTGTGGCCCTGCGGCCCCTCCCACGGCACCTGGAACACAGGCCTGGCCCCACGTAGTCTGCCCAGCCAGGGGCAGGGAGGGCTGCAGTAGAGAAATTGAACAAAGGTAATGAACTTGAAAAATGGTGAAATGGATAGATTGCTGAAGAAATGAAAACGTCAAACTTGGCAGAAGAAAGAAAACCCAACTAACCCAGTAAGTGGAGATCATCTCCAAGGCCTCCCGAACCCAACACACGCCGGGCCCTCAGGCTCTAAGGCTGGGCTCTGCCTGACTCCTAACTGCCGTCCCATAAACGTGGGTTGGAAGACCAGGCAGATTCAGAGCTGCCTGAGGGAGTAAAGTCAGTGCCACGCAGGGGACTGCAAGTCTGTGGTTTGAGGCACACATTCGAGCTAATGGATCCCACGCTCTCCTCCCAAGACAGGAGGGACGGATAAGCTGTCAGGACGCTCCCACTCAGAAAGCGATTGGGGAGGAGAGCCCAGTACCTTGGCTGACGCAGAAGAAGCTTCTGTGGACGTTCAGCATGACCACTGAAAGTCCGCGATGAAGCTTCTTGAATCCTCAGAGCTCTGCGCCATGCCCCAGCATACTGCCTCGGGAGTGGGACACAGGCACTTTCCCTTAGGATCAGAGCAGGACCCCTGCACCACTGTTGGTGGAGCCTGGAGCCAGTTTCGATGGCGAGAAACAGAAATGCGGGGCAGGAGGCTTCGTGGACCGTTGCCCAGCCTCCCCGCCGAGTCCCTGGCCCTGCTTTGTTTCTCCCCGTGGTGCCCACTGCCTTCTAAAGCTACTGGGCGCCTGTCTGCTCGCCGCGCCGCTGCTGCCGTGGAGGCCACGGCACGACGGTAGGGTGTTGTCTGTTTCCACGGCGGCATCTCTGCCCCTGGTGCCCCACCTGTCACTCGTAAGCGCTCAGTATTTGTCTGGGGACGAGCGGTTCCCTCCTCAAGACATCCACTCGTGTCCAAACAGAGTCAGTACGCGGACATTAGAACCTGGGACCACCTTTGCTCCTCAGCTAGTGACAGGGTGGCCCGCTAGACAGTGGCCAAAACGCGCTGCAGGCTGTAGCAGGAACGTGGTGCACAGTGTCCTAGAGCTGAGGTCACCAAGAGTATCCAAAATCCCTGCGGAGAACAAGTTAACTGCTCCGAAAACCTCACGGTGAGAAGAGGGACCGCGGCACCACACGGGCCTCAGAGCAGGGGCACGTGGAGGGAGGGAGACGGGCGTGGAGGCCCAGCAGCGGACACGATGACATTTCCTCTTGCCTCGCAGCTGCCTGTTCATGTCTTCTGTTCTTTTGGGTTTTCGGTTCCCGTACCGACCAGCCCTCCGTCCTGCATGTCCTTCCTGCTCCTGCTTTGTCCGTGGTCCTGTGGTTCTGTTCGGGATGGACTCTGCCACCAAAATTACCTCATGTTTCCGTGTCGTGTACCCGTCTTCTCTGTTGTGCCGTGGGTTTGGTTAGGGTTAGAAAAGCCTTTTGAATTCTGCAAGTCGTTTTCCACATCTTCCTAGCATCCGACCTTATCTTGGGAAACTGTGAGCGGGAGTCCGTCTCCTCTCCAGAGGCCTGCGCGGGCATTAGTTACCTCTCGCCGTGGAGCTGGTTGTTCCAAAACTTGGCGCCTTCCCACGGCAGCCGGTGGCTACTCCACAGCCACTGTTGGTGCAGGATCTGGGCATGGCTCAGCCGCGAGGTTCTCCTTCAGGGTCTCGTGTGAGGACAGTGAAGGCTCGGCCAGGGCTGGGGGCTCTGCCTCCACCAGGCTGGCAGCCTTGCTTCCAGCTCAGCGGCTCTCCCTGGGGCTGCTTGCCCGTCCTCACGACCTGGCCGCTGGCCTCCCCCAGAGGGAGCGTCTGCTGCGGTGCCTTTCATGACCCAATGCCTTTCTGTACAGTAGGAAAAGCAAGGAGCTCCCTGGGAGGCTGGGCCACTGCCTGCCCCTTGCCCACGTCCCCCAGCTGTCTGAATGCCAGGAGGGTCCAGCACGGGGCAGAGCCCGCGGTCCTGGGGTCTCGCTCCGTGCTGTTGTGCACCGCCCCGCTCCTGGCTTGAGGTTGGACTGTGCTGAAGACTAGCCGCTGGGCCTTCTGCACAGAGGCCCTGCGGACGTCCTTTGCCATGAGCCTGACCCGGGGCGGGAGCGGGGTGCCGCTGCAGAGCCCAGCCCCAGGTGACTGCAGGGGGCGGGGGATGGAGGACCCTAGAGACACAGCTACCAGCAGCTTCAGTTTTAACCAGTGCAGCAATTTTTTATTTTTTTTTACAATTTTGAATGAATCAGCACTAGGTGTTTCCGTTTCCAGTGCTTTCTATACTCTAGAGATCAGTGCCCAAAGGAGGTGTGACGCTGGCTCCTGGCTCCTGGCGGGAAGGAGCCAGGCCTCAGCTCCCCTGACGCACGGGGGCCAGCCGTGTGTCTGCTGTCCCCGCAACCAGCTGCAGGGGCGGAGGCTCAGGTCCCTGAAGCAGCCTCGGATCTTGGGTGCGTGCGTCTGTCGCCCCAAGAGGGTGCTGGAGTGACCGACGCACGCAGGCTCCAATGCCTGCTGTGGGGCAGGCAGAAGGCACGGGCCCGGACGGCCTCGTGGGGCCCCGCGAGTGCAGGAGCGCATGCCCTTCCCGCCCGTCGGTGCGGCCCTGGGAAGGCAGCAGCCCTCCTCCGTGACTGGTGTCTGTCTTCTGTCCCTGGAGCAGATCTGCGCGCCCGTGGAGTCATCCAGCCCCCTGGTGGTGAGCAACCAAAAGGAGGTGCTGCGCTGCTTCACCGTGCTGGGTACGCCGTCTGCGGCCGCGGCGTCTGCTCCCCGGGGCGCCTGGGCGCCGCCTGTGTGCGGGAGGCGGCTTTGCTCAGGGCTTGGAGTGGAGGAGCTTTCTGTGCCCACCTGTCCCTGGGCCCGTGTGTAGCTCCAGAGCCTCACTGTGGAGGCCTGGCTGGGCTGCAGCCCCCGCGTCCATCCTCCGTGGCCCTGGGTTTGCATATGCTGATGCCCGGCAGGGAGCGGAGATGATTACAAACCCTTTTTTGGATGTTGCTTGCCCCGCAGCTCGCTGTGCACCTGACCGCTTACTGGCCTTCCTGCTGCCCAAGCTCGATGCCAGCAACGAGAGGACCCGCGTGGGCACCCTGCAGGTCGTGAGGCACGTCATCAACTCCGCGGGTGAGTGTCCGGCGGGGGCGGGGCCTGAAAACGGCAGGTACTGTCCATCTTTGGGAACACCTTGCTCTTTTTTTTTTTTTTTTTTTTTTTTTTAAAGATTTCATTTATTTGAGGGAGCGCGAGCGAGCACGGGTAGGGAGAGGGACAGGCAGATTGCCCACTTGGCATGGAGGCCGACCCAGGGCTCGATCCCATGACCCTGAGATCATGACTTGTGCTGAAACCAAGAGTCGGACGCTCGACTAACTGAGCCCCCAGGTGCCCCTTCCTCTGATTCTTTTTTTTTTTTTTAAGATTTTATTCATTTGTCAGAGAGAAAGAGAGAGCACAAGCAGGGGGAGGAGCAGAGGCAGAAGCAGGCTCCCCACTAAGCAGGGAGCCCCAATGTGGGGCTCCATCCCAGGACCCTGGGATCATTACCTGAGCCGAAGGCCGACCCTTAACCGACTGAGCCCCCAGGCATCCCCCTTTCTCAGACTCTTAAAAAAAAAAAATTTCCCTATTTCCTATTTTGCAAAATTCCAAACTCTGAAAAATACCTTTCTGCGTGGCAACAAATGCCCATCGTAGACGTTCGCCTTCGATGGGTGGCTGGGACACCGGGCCCCTGCACCCCTTCCCCGGGCCAGACGTCCCCGATGGCTCAGACATGTCCCATGTCGCCTGTCCTGGCTACCCTGGGGGGGCCAGTCGAAGAGACCTGTCTCTCAGGTGTGGGCCCCCGGGAAGGGCGCAGCTGGCCGTCGGGCAGAACACCCGTTAGCCTGCACGTGTCTCTGACCCCCTCAGTCAGACGGAAGGCTCCAGGCTTCTGCCTCTGAGGCCCACGGAGCCAGCAGTGGGCTCGCTCTGTGTCCTTGCCGGCTCTGGTCAGTCTCACGTCAGCCATTGTGGTCGACACGCACCACATCCCGCTCTGGTTTGTTTTGGTTATTTTAAAGATTTACTTATTTTAGAGAGCACACGGAAGCAGGGGGAGGGGCAGCGGGAGAGGGAGAGAGACACCCCTCACTGAGTGTGAGGTCTGACTCGGGCTCAGTCTGTGACCTCGAGTTCACGACCTGGGCCGGAACCGAGAGTCAGACGCTTGACCGACTGCGCTCCCTGCGCGCCCCTCGTTTGGTTTTTATAAAGTAAAGCATGTACGTAGTTCGACTTACGGCAGGAAACTCGGTTCCAGCTTGCTGATCTATCAGAAGTCCGGAAAATGCGTCTTTTCCAATGACAGCCGCATCTCATTCTTGTTCTCGTCCCCTGTGCTGAGACCTGCGTGACTCGGCATCGTGTGGCGCTGGGGTGAAGGGCCCGTGGGTGACGCAGCCTGTCTGCGGGCGGGACGGCGTAGACCAGGGCCCCTCTCCCCACTGCAGGCCTCACTGATCCCAGGAGCTGCAGTGCCCCCCCACTGGCTGTGTCCCCCCGCCGCCGGTGCCAGCTGTGTCCCCCCACATCCCCGTGCTGGCTGTGTCTGCGGCCCTGTTCACGCCCTGGGCACCTGCGGAAAGGCCCCATACGGTCTGATTTGTAGGTGAGGGTAGTAAGGCTTCGCGTTAGCATGAACGGCAGGTGTGGTATGCACGACCCAGCTTCGGGTGAGCCAGGGCCCTGCTCTTTCTAGAAGTTTATTATCATATGAGTAAGAAGTTGGGGCCATGATTAGATTCCTTTGAACCGTGACCCAGGATGCCTTTCTTGTGTGGGTGGGCACTGCCGTGCCCACTGGGTCGGCCACACAAGGGAGGCTCTTGCTTCTTCCTTCCTTCCCTTGTCTCTCTGGCCTCGAGCTTTGGGCCTGGTCACCGAACACTGGTGACAGTCTGAGTTAACGTACAAGTGACTCGCTCTGTTTGCCTCGATGCCCAAAGGATGTGTATTTTTTTATTTTAAATCCAGAAATTTTATTGGCTATGTTGGCTGTTCTGGGGGTGATATTTTTCCCAGATCTGTCAAGTGCCTTTTCAGTATGTAGTTTCAAATCTTATTTTGCCTCAGGATTTTTATTTTTATTATTTTTTTAAGATTTTACTTATTGGGGCACCTGGGTGGCTCCATGGGTTAAGCCTCTGCCTTCGGCTCAGGTCATGGTCTCAGGGTCCTCGGATCGAGTCCTGCATCGGGCTCTCTGCTCAGCGGGGAGCCTGCTTCCCCCTCTCTCACTCCCCCTGCTTGTGGTCCCTCTCTCACTGTGTCTTCTATCAAATAAATAGATAAAATCTTTAAAAAAAAGATTTTATTTATTAGAGAGAGAGTAAGAGAGAGTAGAAGCAGGGGGAGCACCCCTGGGGCACCTGGCGGGCTCAGTTGGAGGAGCACGCAGCTCTGGATCTCAGGGTTGTGGGTTTGAGCCCCACATTGGACATAGAGATGCCTTAAAAATGAAATCTTTCAGGGCATTTAGGTAGCTCAGTGGGTTGAGGCCTCTGCCTTCGGCTCAGGTCATGATCTCAGGGTCCTGGGATCGAACCTCACATCGGGCTCTCTGCTCAGCAGGGAGCCTGCTTCCCTTCCTCTCTCTGCCTGCCTCTCTGCCTGCTTGTGATCTCTTGTCTGTCAAATGAATAAATAAAACCTTAAAAAAAAAAAAGAAATCTTTAAAAAACTAAAGTGCCCTCCCACCGTGTGCCTTGAAGGGTCCCTGTGCTGTGGACACTTGTGTCTGTGTCCTTGTTCCTCTTGGTCTCGGGGCCACTTCCTGACGGCTGCCTTCAGTCCCCGCTTTCCTGTCAGGAGACCAAGGCTGACCTTGCTGGCTGTCCGGTGGGAGAGGGTCCTCAGAGCAGCAGCGTCAGCACAACTGGGAATACGTGGAAAGTGCCCACGTGTACCTGCTGACAGGCCTGCCAGGACTGGGGTGCTGGTGGACGCCCCCCAAACCTGGTTCTGCCTGACTTAGGACACTCTCGTACCTGTTGCCCTAAATTATCTACCACCCAGCTTCTTCTTGGGCAAAATAATGTTATTTGGGAAAAAAGTCACTTGTCCCCCAAGGGAAGTGGGAGGGCTTTGCTGAAGTGCCGTCCCTCCCCTGCTGAGGACCAGGCTGCGACCAGACCTGGCGATGGAGCCCTGGGCCTCATTGGGGTGCATGGGCCTTGGTCCTGGCGGGGAGACTGAGCTGGCCGTTCGTTTCTTGCAGCTTCTCAGATGGAAGTTAAGAAGCCCTTTATTCTGTCCTCCATGAGGCTTCCTCTTCTGGACACCAACACCAAGGTAGATGGTGGGGTCAGCCCGAGCTCCTCCGGGAGCAGCGGCAGGAGGCGTGGCTGGGCTGGGGCGGGAAGTCCTCATTGACTCAGCCCGACCTGGACATCAGAGGGAGCATGCAGGCGTGGGTGCTGCTGAGCCGTCAGCCAGGACTCCCACACCCTACTCCTTACACAGTTAACCACATGGGAAGGGAGGCAGGGGTCCCCGAGACCCCGCGGGGTCCGCCGATTCGCTCCACGGGCTCCCAGAACTCACGAGAGCGGTCAGGCTCCCGGTTAGGCTCATCGCAAGGAAAGGACGCAGACCGCCCTCAGCCAGGGGCAGCGGCGCGGGCAGGGCCCAGCAGGGTCCGCACCGCCCTCTCCCCGTGGAGTCGCGAGCAGCGCGCGCTCTCCCGGCCCGAAGTGCCAGCTCGCACGAGTGCTGTCGGCCGGGGAAGCCCCCGCCTCGCCGTCCAGGGTCTTGGTCCGGCTCCCGTCACGCTGACCTGGTCGTCTTCCTGCGTGGCCGACCTCCGTCTCCAGCCCCTGGGGAGCCCGAGCTGACACCGTGTGGCCCAGAGCCCCAGGGAAACAGGAGACGAGACTCGGCCCGTCCCAGCAGCCAAGGACAGGGTTGACCCTACTGACCCTTACTGGGGCCCCATAGTCAGGCAGGCCTGCTCACTCCCAGGTGGCGGGGTCCCCCTGCCCGGCCCCAGGGGGCTGCTGCAGACTTGGCGCTCACCCTAGGCAGCCTGCTCTTTGGGCCATTCCATGAGAGTTTTGAAAATGATTGACGTGGACCCCCAGGCACTGAGGCCACGTCTGTTGCAGGCCCCACGCACAGCCCCCAGATTTCCTCCTGGTGCTGTTGCTCGGGACACCCCTAAAGGGCCACCCCACGTGCCACGGACAGTGCTAGTGGCCGGGCGCACTCTGCCGGAGCACCCACTGTGCGACCGCATTGCTCACCCCGATCTACCCGCCCCCCCACAGTCACTCAGGGTGCGCACGTGATGGGGGATGGAACGGAGCTGAGTGGCCAAGGAGGCTGGGGCTGTGACATTTGCCCCGAGGTCCAAAGGAGAGAAGCCTTTTGAGGAAGGATCTCAGGGGTGGGGGGCATTGGGCTGATGTCTGTGCCTGTGGCTCAAGGGGAAGCCCAAGGGTGTGTGGGAGGCGCCAGCTCTGGGGGAGGGGTTTTTGGCCTTGGTGACTGTGCCTTTGAGCCACCAGGTGGGGCCATTAAGTGGGGCCGGATGGTAGGCTCAGCTCCCAGGGGGGTTGTGGCAACAGCGGCTGATTCAGGGTCCTTGTGCTGGAGGGGGCGGTGGAGCCGGGGGTAGGGCCCGTGAGAGGTGCCAGCCCTGAGAGCAGCAGTCTTGCAGCTGGAGGTGGGGCGAGCGTGGGGCAAAGGGGACGGCACATCGGGAGCCAGAGGAGCAACAAGTCTCACGCCCAGGGAGGGAGGGAGGTGTGGGGGCAGGAGGAAAAGGGACCTTCTGCTGAGGCCGTGACACCTCCACAGGCTGCTGAGGTGGCCACGTGTGCAGCTGAGGGGCTGGGTGCGGCACAGGTGCAGGTTCAGGTGCCGAGGAAGGCCCGGTGTAGGTGCACAGCAGGTGCGTGTGGCACAGATGTGGGTGCAGGAACAGGTGCAGGCAGAGGAAAGGGCAAGATGCCCTTATCCCAACTGGGCTGTCACGGCACTGTCCAGGGCTCTCCCCCCGAGGCCCCTCCCTGACCTCCCTCGGTCCCGGGCAGGTGAAACGGGCCGTGGTGCAGGTGATCAGTGCCATGGCCCACCACGGCTACTTGGAGCAGCCCGGAGGAGAGGCGATGGTGGAGTACATCGTGCAGCAGTGTGCACTGCCCCCCGAGACAGAGGTAAGGGGGTGTCCCCCACCTATCCACTCTGGGGCTCAGGAGCTGTCGGCCTTCTGGGAGGCCGTGTGCCCATCAGAACCTACACAGTCCCAGCTGGGGGCGGGGGGTCTCAGCCTGTGCGCGAAGCACCTCTCTGCGTTCTGTGGTGGGGCCTCCCTCCCTCAGCTCCCAAGGCTCCGCAGAGAGAGGCAGAACACATACCTGGTTATCTCTGGGGCTTTTCTGTTGAAAAAGTTACTAAGCAAATCCAAGTTTCTTCTTGAGGGAGAGCAAGGTAGATGGCAAAAACGCAGGCATGACTGGGTGGTCTGTCCCCGTGTCCTGGCCTTGAGCCTGCCCTGGGCCTGGTCTCTCGGGCCCAGGTCAGCTCAGAGCTGCGTGACCGCCGAGGGGAGCTCCGCGTTTGGGCGGAAGCACTGGGGTCCAGCCAGAGCGAGAGGACGTTGCTCCCTTGCTTCAGGAGCCGCTCTGTGGGCCCTGGGAAGGGCCAGCTCGGCACTGTTCCCGGACTCGGGCGGCCAGGTCTCCCCCTGCTCCGGCCCGTTTCGGCCTCCACATGTTCACAGCCACTCCGGGGCCTTTGGGCTTACGCTGGAGAGAATCAAGGTCTGTTTTAGTCTGTTACTCCCCAGTTTGGGGGCATTTGAAGATTTCTTTTAGGGTATTAAAATTTTTCTAGGTGATTAGTTTTTCATGGCCATCGTGGACTTGTAATTTTATTGTGTTGTCTTCTGTGAATCTGGCCAGGTTTATTCCTGCCTTTAAGAATTTGTTGAGAGGGGCACCTGGTGGGGGGGCTCAGTCGTTAAGCCTCTGCCTTTGCCTCAGGTCCTGATCCCAGAGTCCTGGGATTGAGCCCCGCATCAGGCTCCCTGCTCTGCGGGAAGCCTGCTTCTCCCTCTGCCTTTCCCCCTGCTAGTGTTCCCTCTCTCGCTGTCTCTGTCAAATAAACAAAAAAATCTTATTAAAAAAATAGAGAGAGGGGCGCCTGGGTGGGTTGGACCTCTGCCTTCGGCTCGGGTTGTGGTCTTGGGGTCCTGGGCTGGAGCCCCGCATCGGGCTCTCTGCTCAGTAGGAAACCTGCTTCCCCCTCTCTCTCTGCCTGCCTCTTTGCCTACTTGTGATCTCTGTCTGTCAAATAAATAAAATATAAAATCTTAAAAAAAAAAAAAAAGAGTTTGTTGAGGAGGCACCCAGCTGGCTCGGTCAGTGGTGCGGGCAACTCTTAATCTCAGGGCTGTGAGTTCAGGCCCCATGCTGGGTGTAGAAATGCCTTAAATAAATTAAGTCGTTTAAAAAACTGTTGACCTAACAGATGATCAGGCTCTCAGAGTTGTTCGTACTTGTGCGGGACGAAGCTCAGAGCGTTTTTTAAAACTTGCTATTCAAGGCCTAAACATGTCTCCTCTCTACTTGACCTTTGATCTCTCCGGGAGAGGTGGGGGGTCTCGGACACTCATTGCATTTTGGCCATTTCTCTCTGGTGTTCAGCGTTTGCGTTTCGGTATCTCAGAGCGTGAGTGGGAGGTTCAGACAGAACATGTGGCCAGCAGGGTCAGTGTTTTGCAAGGGACCGTCCTAGGGAGGCGGGTGAGGACGCAGTGTCGGCGGAGAAGCCGTCCGCCGCCTGAGGCTGCAGGAGCTCTGGCCCGTTCTGGCGAGACCGTGGCGGTTTGCCCGGGTGACCGTCATTGCCGCTCAGGCGCGCCTGTGTCTGTGGATGTCAGCATGGCCACAGCTGAGGATAAAGAGATTTCTTGCAGAGCCTGTGGCGGGAGGGAAGGCTCACGGTCTCCGTTGTCCTGGAGGCTGGAACTGAGACAGCTGGGCCCATTTCCTTGGGCACTGCCAGTGCCCAGTGTGTCACCTGCCCATGGCGGGCGGGTGTCCCCTATGGCAGCTGGGCTGGGTCTGCCCTGTATGCGTGCTGGCTACGTCCCCACTGCCCAGAGCCCACAACAGTGCAGGTTCTGAGGGCAGAGAGGTACTGTCCCATGCGCGCTCCGGCCTCTCCGCACCCCCACCCGCTGCAGAAGCTGGGTCCCGACAGCGAGGACCTCACAGCGGACAGTGTGCGGGCCGTCAGCGTCAGCGCTCTCTACCTGGTCAGCACCGCCGTGGACAGGATGAGCGACGTGAGTGCGTGCCTGACCTGCGGCCTGTGCCTAGGCTCGCCCGGACGGCTGGCCACCCGCCCTGGGCGCCTGACCGACCGCTGCCCTCCCACCTCGTGGCCCAGGGACTCTTGAACTCCGGGGTGGGCAAGCTGCAGGGGCAGGGCTCCTCTCTGGGCCACCTCCCCAAACATCCCCAAGCCCCTGCAGGGCCTGGGGGAGCCCCTGACTGCGTTTGGCCCTGCAGCCTGCACTCCGGAGACGCGCACACAGACCGGGGCTCTGCTCCCCAGGTCCTCTGGCCCTACCTGCTGGCCTTCCTCACGCCCGTGCGCTTCACCGGGGCGCTGACCCCGCTCTGCAGGAGCCTTGTGTACCTGGCCCAGAAGAGGCAGGAGGTGGGAGCCGAGGCCTTCCTCATCCAGTCCGACAGCAACGGTGCGCCCTGCTCCCCACCTCCTTCTCCTCACCCCCGATCTAGCCCTCGAGCCCGGCCTCCTCCTGCCACCCACCCTGCCTCTGAAGTCCCTGTACCTCACGGGGCGGTCAGGGCCTGGGGCTCTGGGCGCAGGCAGCCTGCTGAGCATGCCTCCCACCTCCTTTCCAGTGACCCTCCCTTCGCCCTACGCCATCACCGCGAGACTCCTGGTGAGCATCGCGCAGCATGCCGTGCTGGCCCTGTCCCCTCCCCGAGCCAGCACAGCTCCCCGGGGGACTCAGGGAGGGAGTGGGCTCGCCCTCAGTCCCTGTGTCCCTGGCCTCACACTGTCTCGCAGTGGGGCCGGTCGGGCGCGCCCTGTGGGGCTTGGGGGAGCTGTGTCCCGGAGCCCTCCTCACCTCCCTGCCATGGGGTGGCCTTGCGGGGCTCACGTGGGGCGCGGTGGCCCCTGGAGCGCCTGGAGCTCCTGCCTGCACTTCCATCAGACAGTGTCCTCCCAGCCCTACATGGGGGACGGCCGCGGGGCCGCCTCTCTGCGCCTCTTGAACGCGCTGCATCGTAGCATCCACCCTCTGCTGGGGCAGCGTTGGGCGACCACCATCCCCCCGTTGCTGGAGCACCTGGATGGTGAGGCTCCGGGCCGTGGGGGGCCCCTCCACCTCTGACCCCTTGTGTGCCACTTTGCGTCCCGGTTGGCTTTTGGGGACCAGAGTTTAAGTTGGCAGAAGCAGCCTCCCCTGAGTTTCAAGGACGTGGGGCTGGAAAGGTGTCCCTGCTGGGTGTCACCCAGGAGGGTCTGGGCTGTGGGAGCTGCTCGGCCGTCCCAGACGAAGGATGTGGCCTCTCTGGAAGGTGCTGGGCAGGGACCTGGGCCTGGGTCTCTGAATTCCGCCCCTACACTTGCTGGCATGGGCCAGGCTGACCGCGTGACCGGTCCTTGCAGAATTCACTGAAGAAACCCTGTCCCAGAAGGAGTGGGAGGAGAAGCTGCTTGCGGTGAGAGCGGGGAGACAAGGGTGCGGCCTGTGGCTGCCGTGCAGGGCGGTCGTGGGCGGGACAGCTTGGGGCAGGGGATGCTAGTGGGAGGCTGCCCCTCTAGGGTCATGACGCCTGCCTTGACCTCACAGGGCCGGGGGTGGGGCGGCTGGTGGGCGTCTCTGGGGCGAGGACTGTCTGCCGCCCTCACCCACTGCTCAACCTGATGGGACAGGGCCACCCTGTCCCAGGGGCTCTGAGCTTCTGCCCGGGAGGCTTCTGTCCTGCCTTCTGCCAAGGCCAGTGCGCCTTTGGCCGCACAGGGGGTGCTCTGCAGAGGCTCCAAGGTTGTCTGCTGACCATGTGGAGCTGTGGCATGGGACCACCCAGGGTCGCTGCATGTGACGCCCCTGGGCCTCAGTTCCCTCCCCAGCCAGCCCGGTGAAGGGCTGCGTTCCTGGCCCCTCACTGCCATAGCTCCTGCCCACAGTTCCTTCGGGACACTCTGGCTGTCGTGTCTGACAACACGTGGATTTGCCAGCTGAGCCTGGAGATGTGCAAGCAGCTGCCTTGCTACAACGGGCTGCCCCAGGAGAAGGTTTGAAGAGCAGGGGTGCCCCGGGGGAAGGGCTTCTGGGCGTGGCCCTTAGGCTCCCCAGTTCCTGTGCCTTAACTCTGGGGGGGCCTTTCTGCCTGAACATGTCTCCAGTGACCTGTGGGCCTGACAGAGCCCCCGCGGGCTGGCTGGGAGATGCAGGAGCCCATTTTCCCCTCCTCTCGCTCAAGTCGCCACCCAGAACTCACCGGGTCTTCGCAGTGGCCACTGCCCTGGGCTCCGGCAGCCCCGGCCGCGTCCGGTTGGCCTCCTGCCCTCGGGCTCCGGCGCAGCTGTGCCCCTCGGCTCTCTTGCAGAACTTCCTGTACAAGTGCGTGGGAACCGTGCTGGGGGCCACCTCGAGCAAGGACGTGGTGAGGAGGCAGCTGCGGGAGCTGCTGGAGACGGCCGGACACCAGGAGGAGGCCGAGCGCGAGGTGACTGCTGTGCTTCTCAGGAGGCCCCGCCGGCCCTGCTCGGCACGTGCGTGTGTGCTCACGCGTGGAAGGCCGTGCCTCTCGGGCCGTGTGTGTGTGAGCACCGTGTTCCTTCCCGGCCCTGTCCTCGCCCAGGTGTGAGCACACCTGTGTGCCTCCTCAGGGCCTCGCCTGCTGCTTTGGGATCTGCGCCATCTCTCACCTGGATGACGTCCTGGCCCAGCTGGGGGACTTCATGAGGTCGGATGTGTTCAGAAAATCCACGGGCATTTTCAACATTTTCAAGGTACAGGGATTGGGGTGACAGCTAGGAGAGCATCTCAGGTGGGACTGGCCTGGGCTTGTGTCTTGGCCGTGATTTGAGGTCCTGGGGGCTGGGCATTCCGGAGCTCCCTGGGCTTAGGGTACCCTGCAGGTTGAGGGTAGGACGGGGAGGTGGCATCTGGTCCACACTTCCTTGTGTAGGGGGGCGCTCCTAGCTGGTGACAAGAGGCGGGCAGCCCTCTGCTAGCCACGGACTCTGATGGGGCTGCCGTCCGCTGCCTGTGTGTCCTCTGCCCGCTGGGGTCTGTGGCGGCTGCCTTCTGGGGAAGCGTGACTCAGGAGGCACAGAGCACGGCCACCCCCACGCCAGCCCTTGTGGCCGGGTTTCCTATCTCCGGGGGCCCGTTGTAGTTTTAGAATCTGTGGGGCCCCAAGGATGGAGGGGTCCAGTGCAGCCACTGGAGAGAGGACGGGGACCCAACTCTGGGTCCTTTCCCTTCTGCCACATGGTCCCCAGTGGGCCTGAGCCCAGCCTGCCTGTCCTGTTCTGCTGTCCCTGCCAGAGGAACTCTGGGGGGTCAGGTGGCGCCATCCACCCCTCAGCGACGACTCTAATGTTGTTGGCCAGCCCCTCCCTTCTTCCAGAAGGACCGGGGGAGTCTGATCGCGAGGCTTCCTGCGGGGACCGGGGGCTCTGCCTGAGGCCCTGCCCACCCCCCTGGCTCCTTAGGAGCGCAGCGAGAACGAGCTGGAGAAGCTGAAGGGCACCGTGATCCTGTGCTACGGGCACGTGGCGGCGCGGGCCCCCCGGGAGCTGGTGCTGCCCAAGGTGGAGTCCGACCTCCTGCCAAACATGTTCCACTACTTCAGCACCAAGGTGAGCGCCTCACACACCGCCTGCCGCCTGCCGGCCGCTGCGGGCCGCGTGTTAATCCCTTTCACTTTCATCGTTCAGGTTCTGGGAATAAAGGTAGAGACCAAGGTACAGTGCGTGGGAGCTCAGTGCGGGCTCTGCCTCTTCTCTCTTCTCGGGGCGGGGCTGGCCGGGAGCTTAAGGGACGGAAGCCGGGGAGGGCAGGCCCCGGGGCTCCCTGCTCCCAGTCCGCAGGCAGAGCTTTCCGGAGCCCGGCCCCACTGTCTGTGGAGCATCAGCTCCTCTTGCGGCCCGGACGGGGACCCAGGAGTTAGCGCCCGGCCTGGGCCCGGATGGTGGGTGGACAGAAGGGTGGCCTTCTGAGCGGCTGGGCGGCAGGCCCGCAGGCTGGGGCTCTGCTCCCTGACGCTCACGGGGCTCACCTCTCGGTGAGTTCTAAAGCCAGTGGCGACGGTCAGACTCTCTGGCCTCACTAACACGCCTGCTCTCTGGGACCGCTGGCACTAACCTGTCACACCTCCGAAGGAGCAGTCGGGCTTCTCCCTCGAAGAACGGGCCCTCTTGGATCTCCTGGGGCTGGCTGGGGCTAGGGTATTCTGACGGTCGTTTCTTCTTCTGGCCCTTCGTGTCCCCAGGACAGCACCCCTGCACCCCCTTTCCCAACCATCCCCAGAAGCTGAGTTGGTAGAACAGGCAGGGGCAGGCTCCCTCTGCGGGGCCTCTGCTTGGGCGCACTCCCTTCCCCTCCCACCTTGACAGACCCCTGCAGGGGATGCAGAGCACACTGTCGGCCCTGGCCAGGTAAAGAGCTGGGGGGCCGCAGGGGCTCTGTCCCAGCCCCCCGATCCATGTGGCTTTGGTGAAAGCTGGAGGAGTACAGGCTGAGAGTCCCTCAGGAGGAGCGAGTGTGGCTGTGGACGGAGGGGAGGGCCTGTGGTCTGGCCTGGGTTGTCGTGAGCGCCAGCCGTTCTGTGTGCAGCCCCGAGGGCCCCCACGTCAGGGCAGAACCTTGCTGTGGGGCGGGCGTCGGTGGCCTCCTGCAGCCCAGCGTCCTTCTAGGACCCGGCTCTGAAGCTGTGTCTGGTCCAGAGCATGTGCATGGCCAGCCAGGCCATCTGCAACAATGCCCAGGCCGGCTCCTTCCACTTCTCCCGGAAGCCGGAGTTGGTGGCACAGATGATGGTGAGCGCTGGCCGGAGCCGGCCTGGGGCCAGGGGTGGCGTTGAGGGCACTGCTGCAGGTGGGGAAGGTGGGCCTGGGGAGGGCACCTGCAGTGAGGGACCCCAGCCCCCACTCAGCACAGCCTGAGAAGCCCACACCAGGCCGACCGCTGACCAGGGGAAAGCAGGTGCTTTGACCCAGGGCTGAGTCACGGGCCTGGCCCCCCAGGAGTTTATCAAGGCAGAGCCCCCGGACTCCCTGAGGTCGCCCCTCCGGAAGAAGGCCATGCTCGCCTGCACTTACCTGGTGTATCCTTCTTTCTGGGTGCTGGGGGGGCTTCAGAGGGGGCCATCTGTTCCCATGTTCTCTAGACAAGGGGTGCGGCTGCAGGGCGGGATGCGGGGCGGGGCGCGGGGCTGGAGAGGCCTCCGGCCCTTAACTGCGGGTTCAGCTCCTTGGAGCCGGCGCTGGAGGAGCAGGTGCGGGCCGATCTGGTGCGTCACTGTCTGCACAGCGTCCTGTCCGTGCTGCCCGATCCCGAGGGGGAGCGCGACCACCAGGAGGTACTGCCCTGCATCTGGGGGTTCGGGACAGGCTGCTGAGCGGGGCAGGGTCACTGGTGTGGCTGGCCACCCATCTCTTCCTAGTCCCTGTACCTGGACACCATGCACGCCCTTGAAGATTTGCTCACCAGCCTCCTTCGGCGGGATATGACCCCCCAGGGCCTGCAGATCATGGTGGAGGTGTGCAGTGGGAGTGCACTGCCTGGGGGCGGGGCGTGTGGGGGGACGGGCACCCCACCTGGCAGCCAGCCCCTTGCCTGCTTCTCCTGGTTCTCCCTGCCACGGGGGCCCTGGGGAGTTCTGTGCTCTCTGCAAGTGTGTGGTGTCGGGGGGCGGGTCTTGAGTTGGGGGCAGCACCCCTCCTTTGTGGGCAGGTGTGCAAATGGGCTGAGCCCAGATGGGAGCCTGTACTCCCCTGCCCTCCATTACACGGCACTGGGATGGAGAGAGCCCATAGCCCCCCAGGTGGGAGTTCTGGCCGTCTGGATCTTCAGGTGGCAGAGAGGGCAGGCTCTAGGCAAGCCGCCCTCCTTGCTGCCCTTCCCAGCAGTTGCAGGGGCGGGACTGACCTGCTTCAGGGAACAGCCTATCCCTCTCTGGGCCTGGCTCGCTCTGGGTCCACCTAGGGTAGCCATGTCCGTGGAAAGGGACAGAGCGGGAGGTAGAGCGGGTGACCTGCCCTGACCCAACCAACTGGCCCTCGCAGCCGGGGAGGCTGGCCTGGCGGGGATGCTGGGAGGCCCGTGGCGTACAGGCTCCTGCTTCCCAGGCGAACCCCCGAGCTGGCACCGACGTGAGGCTCCTTCTTCCCCAGCACCTGAGGCCATGGATCAAGTCCCCACGGGGCCACGAGCGGGTGCGGGCACTGGGCCTGAGCGCCTGCCTGCTGCGGCACTTCCTGGACCATCTCCGTGTTGGCGTGAGTGCCAGGCGGGCCTGCCGTCGCTCCCCGGCGCCCGGCCCTGTTCCTTGGTCCCTTGGCGTGGGGACTGCTGGGTGTGGCACTCGTGTCCCAGGGCACACTACCAGCTTCCTGGCCCTCCTCTGGTGGTTGCCCTGGGCGCATCCCACGTTCCATAAGTCCCACCGTCCTCTTTCTGGAGCCGTGAACTGAAGACCCTTTGGGGCCGGGAGTTGTCCTCAGGCTGGCCACTCAGTCACTAGGATGGTGTGTGGTGTGTCCCCTATGCGAGGGGAAGGGTGATGGGGACTGGGGCTGAAAGGTTGAGGGCGCTCGAGGCAGGAACAGCACTTTGGGCAAAGGCAGGGGGACGCGAACACACAGAATGCGTGGGAGAGGCAGGTGTTGTGGAGGGACTAGAGGGGGCGGGTGGGGGCTTGTTCCAACATGCGCTCAGTTTCTAGGGGTTTTCATCTTGCCTGAGGTGAAGGAGCTCTCGGTCAGCCTTTCGGAGTTTCATGGTTGTGCTCACGAGGTCATTAGTCGAGGTGACTTTAGGATAAATTTGCTACAGTCCTAAAATATTCCTGCTGTGATTGTGGATTTGGGTAGGAACCGAAAGGAACGGACAGACTGACGTGTTGGACGGCAGCATCTTTTTTTTTTTTTTTTTAAGATTTTCAGTTTATTTATTTGAGAGGACTGAGCAAGTGAGAACACGAGCAGGGAGGGACAGAGGGAGAGAGAAGCAGGCTCCCCGCTGAGCAGGGACCCCCCCCCCCACCGCATGTGGGGCTCGATCCCAGGACCCTGAGATCATGACCTGAGCCAAAGGCAGAGGCTTCACCCACTGAGCCACCCAGGCGCCCCAAGAGCATCTTTTAATAATGGGTCTTCCCCACGGGTCCCCCAGAAGCAGGGCCCGTGTCTGTGCCGCACCCGCGCTGGGTCGGAGGGCGCGTGGCTCTTGTCCGAGTAGCTTTCTCTGCCGTCGCTTTTACTAACTGCTTGTCGCTGGGATGTCCGAGAAGCATGGACTTGCGGGTACTTAGAGATGAGGTCGTTCATAAGATGCTTTGGTCGTTTCTAGTGAGTTTTAGTTAACGCTCTTTACAGGGGCTGACCATCCTGCCCGCCCCGCCCGGTACCTGTGCCTCTGAGCCCCTGTCGTGCTAGCGCTCCGGGCCGCGCTGACAGAGTCCCCGCTGCTTATTTCTGACCACGTCCTGGTAGCGTCTGAGGATGCTTCTGGTGGTTGTCTCTCTCGTGTTTGCTGCCACACCCAAACGTTCATTCTGTGCTGGCCGGATCTGCCGTGTGTCTCTCGCTGGCTTCTGCCTCCCGTGTGTGCCTCGGCGGGCTTTTCCCAGCCCCGATTCCTTCAAGGCCTGCTTTTCACATAATCCCGGTCCACCTAGAGTTCACTCTTGTGCGTGAGGCGACAGGTGTGTGACCTTGCTGGGTGGAACAGCAGCTGCGCCCCCCCCCGCCCCCCTGCTGCACCCCACCTCCCTCTGCTGGACACTCACTTCAGGTAGCAGTGGGGACGAGGGGCCCTTGAAGAGTCCTGCGCTTCCTTAAAGCGTGGGCAGGGACAGGGCGGGGCGGGGGACAGGTGGAGGCAGGAGGCCAAGAGGTGTGTAAGGGAAGTCACAAGGCCCAGGGCAGGCAGGGCCATTTGCTTAGAGCAGAGTGGGCAAGGCTCTGTTATCTGAGGGGTGAAGATGGGACTCTAAAAGATGGGGCCAGGATCCAGCGAGGATGAAGCGGGGGGTCTCTCGCAGCCCCTCAACTGACAGGGCTTGCTTTCTCAAGGAGAGGACACCCCACACCTATCAGCCAGGATCGGCAGAGCCCTGCCTCCCTCTGCTGTCTTGTGGGGACTCCCTCCTTATCTCCTGATTGTCCCTCTGTCTGCACATACCTACTTAGACCCAGCCCTCCTCCTCTCGGGGACCCCTCCTCCTCCAGGGGGTGGGGAGGAGCCACCAAGGGGCCGTACTGGCCATACTCTTGCCCATATCTGGATCCAGGTGTTACAGGGGGCACCTGCCCACCCATGGCTTCTGCAGGGTCCCAGTCCCCTCTCTGCTGTCCCCCCGAGTGCCTCTGCAGGACCCCCTCCCTCTGTCTCTCCAGGCCCTGGTGCCCTTCCACAACCTCGGCCTCCTCATAGGCCTCTTCTCCCCTCGCTGTGCGGACTTGTGGCCCGCCACCCGCCAGGAGGCCGTGAGCTGTGTCTATGCCCTACTATACCTGCAGCTGGGCTACGAGGGTGAGCCCGGGCTGGGTGGAGGCGCTGAAGGCTGAGGGGCAGAGTCTGGGCCCTGGGGGCTGCGGAAGTGCCTGCCCAGCTCCACTCTCCATCTTGCCTCTGTAGGCTTCGCCCGCGACTACCGGGACGATGTGGTTGAGCGACTCCTCACCCTCAAAGACGGCCTTGTGGACCCCGACCCTGACGTCCTCTTCCACACCTGCCACAGCATCGGCCAGGTTACCAGTGGGAACAGCCGCAAAGGGCGGAGGGGCAGCACTGTCTGGGGCAGAGGGGCTCTCCGAGCAGTCAGGACCTTGCATGTTGTGGGCTCCTCAGGGCGCTGGTGCAGGGCACCATGGGGCTAGTGGGCCTGGTGCAGGGACTGGGCACAGAGGCAGGCGTCGCTCAGAAGATGAGCTGTCCGGCACCACCGCTGGCCGGCACTGCTGCCCTCTCCCTGGGGTCTCCCCTCTGAGGCCCAGCAGCAGGGGCGTGGTCAGGAGCTGCTCCGAGGAGCAGAGAAAGCTGCCCCAGCTTCCCCCAAGAGCCCCCATGCCAGGGCAGGCCTCCTCTTCCATTTGGTACCCAGAAATGGCCCTCGGGTGTCTGGAAGCTGTCTCTCCTACAGAAGGAAGAAGGGAGGGGGTTACTCAGTGAAAGGCAAAGACCCAGGCCTGGGCGAGTCCAGGTGGAATGGCAAGGGTGTGTGTGGCTGGGGTGAGACGTGGCGGATATCCAGCCACCTTTCTGCCCGTCGCTCCTGTGTGTGTGGTTTTGTGACCTTGTCCAGCCTGAGTGCTGCCTCTGCGCTTGAGCACTGAGCACAGGGCTCTGCAGGGCCGAGAGGACAAGGAGGGGACTGTTGGGTGGGATGCATTACCCTCTGCCCTTGACTCTGGTCTGGAGAGCTCCAGAGCCACTGTGCCCACTGAGACACACACATACACACACACCCACATCCCAGCTGCTGGAGGTCAGGAGGGGCCTCCAGGAGGGCGCTCTGACCCGCCCGCTGTGCTGCAGGGACCACCTTCCAGGGGCCAGGGTAGGCAGGCCCTGGGGGCTGTGCCCATGGCCTGGTGGGCATCACTGTGAACAAGGCTCCCATGTGAGCCACCACCACCCCTGGTGCCCGGGACAGGGTAAGGAAGGCTGGAGGAGGGGCGTGAGCAGGTGGAAGTGGGGGCAGCCCTTGCGGCCGCCCCAGACCCCGGGACGTTGGGTCTGTCTGGAAGGGCGCTGACCCCCACCCTCGCAGTTCTGACGCAACCGTCCTGCTAGATCATTGCGAAGCGCCTCCCGCCAGAGCAACTCATCAGCCTCTTGCTGACCATGTTTGAGGGGCTGGGCGACCCCGACAAGAACTGTTCTCGGGCGGCTACCGTCATGATCAACTGTTTGCTGAAGGAGCGAGGCCACGTGCTCCTGGAGAAGGTGCGTGGGCGGGGCCTTGCTGTCGGGGTGGGTGGGGTGGGGGCGGGGGCGGGGCCCGTGGCCCACGGCTTGCCCTGGGGCTCCCGCCGTCCTGGCTCCTGTCTCCTAGCCCTGCCGGCCTGGTGAGCACAGGGTTTTCTCTTCCGGTTGAGGACAGGTGAGAACTGGGCCCAGGTGACTGCTGAGAAATTGAGGGGGAGGAGGGAGGAAGGGGAAAGAAGATGCAGGGGTAAGGTGTAGGGAGCCCTTTAGCGAGTGGGCGCTGGGTGGGCGCTCTGCTGCAGGACTGGGAGAGTCCCCCGGCCAGCTGCTCCAGAGAGGCCGTGCGCGGGACACTCAGGTGCCGCCTGCTCCGTCGCCTGCGCGTTCACCCTGCCTCGGGGCCTGTTGGCAGGAGCTCGGTGGCTGTCTACGCAGTCGTTCCCAAGTGTGCACTGCTCCTGCTCTGTGTCCCATGCGGACTGACAGGTCCCTGGGGGATGAGGCAGGCTCCAAGCGTCCGGGGGTGCCTGCCTTTTCCTGCGCCTGGAAAGCATGTGAACAGAGGACTTGTCCAAAGGACCCAGCCCCAGGAGTCCCCCCAGACGTGCACGAGCGGAGCACCTGTCAGTCTCCCAGCCCCTGGTCCCTACAGCGGCGCCCCACAGGGTGGCACGGAGCACAGCCTCCTCAGGGCCGGCGTGCAGTGCCGCCCAGTGGTGACCTGGGAGGTCGTGCATGTTGCTGCCTCGCTCAGTCCTGCCTCACGAGTGCTTCCTGCGTGCGGTGCGTCTGTCCCTCTTTCTGTCCATCCCGTCCCTTGGCCTAAGTTCCCAGTCTGGGTAGTCTTTTTTTTTTTTTTTAAAGATTTATTTATTTATTTATTTATTTGACAGACAGAGATGACAAGGAGGCAGAGGGGCAGGCAGAGGGAGAGGAGGGGAAGCGGGCTCCCGGCTGAGCAGAGAGCCGGACGTGATCGTGGGATCATGACCTGAGTCGAAGGCAGAGGCTTTAACCCAGTGCCCCAGTCTGGGCAGTCTTGGCGCGAGCTGTCAGAGCTCAGGTCCTTTGACACAAGGGTGCATGTCTGTTGGGGACATACTGGGGGAAGGACTGGGGCCTGCAGGAGAGGCCCCTGCAGGGCTCTGCCACTGGCTTTCCAGGCAGCTCACCTCCTGCCAGCAGCAGGTGGGGCCCCGGCGAGCCCCATGGTGGCCGACTCCGCTGCGCACCCTTCCTGCCGTGCGCGCAAGGGCTCCGCAGCCGTGTTCAGTCTGCGTCTCTCTGGCGGCCGGTGCGGTGGAACCGTTCATCCGTGTGTGCTGGCCACCCGGGGGTCCTCCCTCGTGAAGACACCAGTGTCGTGCCCACGTTTCACCTGGGTTGTCTGCGCTTTTACTGGTGGCGGAAGTACTTTATCCGTGCAGGGCACACGCTCTGTGTTGGAGGCGGGCACACACAGGGGAGTGTGCACGCATCACAAACACTTTCTCAAGACGGAGATGGAAGAGCGCTGGGCAGGGCCGCGGGACAACGGAGCCGGCTCCCAGCGAGGGCTGCAGCGGGTGCGGCGGGTGGGCAGAGCCTGGACCTGGGAGGAGAGCTGTGGCAGGAGTCGGGGAAGGGGGCGCAGCCATGACAGGGCCTGCCGGCTAAAGGTCTGGGTTGTAGTTTGCGTCCCGCGGGGCGCCAGCTGGTATTTCGGACTGGTTTTACCGTCAGTTCCCACTGATGAGTGATGGTAGGCGTCTCCTGGGGCGCTTGTTGGCTGCGCGTACGTCTTCTTTGGGGACGCATCTGTCTGTGTCCTTGGCCCAGTTTAACGTCCTGTCGTTGGATCCGCCACTGGGTCGCAGAGGCCGCACGTGTTCCGAGCGCGGTGCGGCATCCGGTGTGTGATTTACAGACGTTCTTCCCCATCCTCTAGGGCTCCTCCTCACGCTGCTGACTGTGTCGTTTGATGCATGAAAGTTTTGGGTTTTTTTTAAAGGTTTTATTTATTTGACAGAGAGAAGAAGCACAAGTAGTGGGAGAGGGAGAAGCAGGCTTCCCACTGAGCAGGGAGTGCGACACAGGGCTTGATCCCAGGACCCCGGGATCGCAAACTGAGCTGAAGGCAGATGCTTAACGACTGAGCCCCCCAGGTGCCCTGTTTGTTTTCTTTTTAAGAAAGCTCTAGACCCAGTGTGGCGCTTGAGCTCATGACTCGGAGACCAAGAACTGTGTGCTCGACCAGCTGAGCCAGTCAGGTACTCCTCGCGGGAGTTTTTAAGTTTGATGTAGTCCTATATTTTTGCCCACTTTTTAAAAAGATTTTTATTTATTTATTAGAGCAAGCACAGGCAGAAGGAGAAGCAGGCTTCCCACAGAGCAGAGAGCCCGATTCGGGGCTTGATCCCAGGAGCCCGGGATCATGACCTGAGCCGAAGGCAGACGCTCAACGACTGACCCCCCGCCCCCAGGCACCCTGATATTTTTGCTTTTGTTGTCTGTTCTTTTGGGTTACAGCCGAGAAGTCATTGCCAAATGCAGTGTCACAAAGCTTTTCTTTCTTCCTAGGAGTTTTCTAGTTTTTGATCTCGCCGCTCTCCTCTCCACGAGCCCCTCACCCCAAGCTGGCGGTCTGGGTGCTCATGGTGCTGCTTTTTCCACAATGTCCTTTCCAGCTCAGGTTCACAGACAGGGCCCTTCCCACGCCTCCCCCGGGGAGGGGTGTTCCTGACACCCGGGCCTGCACTGTGTATCTGTGGCCACCAGAGTCTCATGGGGGCCATGGCACACCGGCCTCTTGTGTCCACAGACGCCATGGCGGGCCGCCGTTTCTGTTCCTGTCCTGGCAGAGCTTGGTGGGGGGACGTCCTAGGGATGCCAGGATGCTGTTAGAGGGTCAGCTTCTCTGACATCCAATCAGAAGATGTGGTCCTCGGGGGTGACGCGTGACTAGACACAGCATGAACTAGGGCACATTGTACAACTGAGCACAGAGGGCAGGACAGGGCAGCCGCCGCAGGCTCCTGACCTCTGTGGTGCTGGAAGGCGGAGAAGGGCCTTCTGTGGGTGGCAGGGAATGTGCAGGGGAAGCCGAGGAAGAGGACAGACGAGACGTAAACAGCATGGGGCCGGCACTGTGGCAGGTGGCCCGTGGCCCGGCAGCTCCCTGCGGGCCTGTGCCCCGGAGCAGCGGATCAGGCACACGAAGACTCGGAAGCGGACGCTCACAGCGGCACGGGCCGCGACGGCCACATGACGGACACGGCCTACACGGAAGTGCAACGCGTGTTCCCCACACAACGGGTCCTGCTTCAGCAGCCGAGCGGAATGAAGCTGAAACCCCTGCCTGGGCGCCGCCTGGGAAACGTGTGCAAAACTCAGGACTCAAGGCACCAAAGGCCCGGGGTGTGAGTGCGCAGCTCCGACGCTCGCACGGACGGCCGGGGGCTGCTGGCTGCCGGGGCGGGGGGGGGGGGTGGCTGATGCACGTGAAGTTTCTTGGGGGTGACGGGGACGCTCTCGGATGGGCGGGTGCGGCTGCCTGACACTCGGCACCCCAGAGACCCCCGAGTTGCACACGGACAGCGGGTGGGCTCCGTGGCGAGCGGTCCTGTCTGCAAAGGCACCGGGAAGACACCACGGAGCAGGAGAGCGAGAGCGGGGCGCAGGCGCGGGGCCGGTAACGCTGGGCTGGAACGACCCAGCAGGCCGAGCCCCACACCGTGGGCCGTCGGAACACAGCCCCCACCCTGGGGCAGGACGGGGCTGGCTCCCTGGAGCCGACCCTGGGCCGAGAGCCTCCGCAGCCCCGCGCTGGGGTTCTAGGTGCCGAGCGAAACACGCAGAAGCAAGAAAGTATCAGAGACACGGGATAAACCCACCAAAGCAGTTGGAAGGAAACCCCGCGAGTCGGGGCAGAGAGCCAGCACCCGAAGTGAGCGAGGAGAAGCCACTCGCTCCTGCGCCCGCAGACCGCCCGCAGCCCACGGGCTCGCTGCCGGGACCCCCGAGGGACGTGGAAGTCAGGTGGGCCAGCAGCCGTGGTCGCAGCCCAGCGCACGCACGGGCCGTGTGCCCAGGCCGAGAGGGCCTTCAGCCCCGGACGCGGGGGGCGGGGGCTCCTGTGGGCGCCGCTACACCGGTGGGAACGGGACCCCAGGCAGCTGGTGTGGAAGACACCCCTCCTGGCTCAGCACGTCCTCCCTGCTGGGACTCCCCCGGCCGGCCTGGAGAGGACGCGGCTCCCTGTGGCGGGGCCCCAGCTGGTGGGGTCCAGAAGACAGTGATGACCAGGTCAGTGGGAGGACAACCCTGGCTCACGTGAGTGTGCTAATCTGCTTTCTGCACCCGAAGTTGTAGAAGCGTGTTGTCATGGTCACAAGTCTTTTGAGAAATGACAGTGACAGCGCCTCCCCCTGCAGCCCAGCCAGGGGCCTCTGGCTTGCCCACCTGGGCACACGGCCTCCCATGTCCCCTTCCCAGCCTCAGGCCCCACGTGCCCTTGCTGGCCGGCGTGGGCCTGGCCTGGAACGTTCCACCGTCACAGCCGTGGCCAGGCCCTTCTTGCTGCTCCTGCCTCCTGGGCATCCAGGAGGGGCAGTGCACGGGTCTGCCAGCTGCCCTCGTCCAGGGGACCGTGTGACTGCCGCCGTCTCGTCTGCTGTCCTCTCAGACCTGTGTCTGCCACTATGCAGCCCCCAGGGTCGTGGATCCCAGTGCTTGGGGCCAGCGCCTCCTCCACATCAGCCCGGGGACCCGCAGTGACGAGGCCATGCCCAGAATAGGGCCTGCCGGATCAGGGCGGGGCAGGGGCACAGGCCGCCCGCGGTCGCACTCTGCCTGCTCCTTCTTGCAGCCGATGACCCCTCTGGCTTCTGGGACGACGGCGGCCAGCCGTGCCCCAGCACAGCCCAAGCGCCAGCGCCCGCGTCCTGGTGCTCCCTGTCCCGGTGCAGCACTCACCTCGTTGCCTGGCACGGGCGCTGTGTGCGCTGTTCCAGGGCCAGAGGCTGTGTGTCCCTGCCCGGGGGTATGAGGGCCCCGCAGGGGCTGGTGACTGCTATATGCACCCCAGTGCCCTTCTCCCATGCTCCGCACGCCCCACAGACCGCCGCCCCGTGTGCACACAGCACTTCGAGCCCCTGGCTGGCCTCTCAGGTGCTTGTTACTTCCCACGTGGAATCTAGGTCCTCGTTCTCGGGCCACAGCGACTCCGCCCGAGGGGCCAGGCTCTTGCCTTCTCCCTTCGGTCTGGTGGCCAGCAGTGTGATCTGTGGGGTTCCCCTCCCCACGACCCCGCTGAGTGGGGCTCACAGCCAGCCGCTCTCCCCAGGGCCCGGTGCTCTGCAGGCACTGGAATGGCTCGGGCTGTGGGTGCGGGCCCAGGGCCTGACCTCCGTGGCCCACTGCCTGCAGGTACCTGAGCTCGTGACCGTGCTCCGCTCGAAGCTGCGGGACACCCGGGAGGAGGACATCCTGAAGGCCGCCCAGCACAGTGTGTACCTCCTGGCGTCCCAGCACTGCGCCGCCGTGGTGGCCAGCCTCCTGGGCAGCCCCCTGCCCTTTGACAGGTACGTGGCACCTGCCAGCCTGCGGGGGTGCTGGGGTCCGGCCACGGGGCTCCAGGCCAAGGCCCAGCTCAGACACAGGACTTGAGGGTCCTGCTTGTGGCCAGCCCCTCCTGCGTCAGTGTGCACAGCCCCTTGCTCTGCTGGGGAGGGTCCCCCACTCGCACTTCCAGCTCCTGACTTTCTGCCAACAACTGTCAAAGGAGAGGGTCTCTCTCTGCCCCAGGCCTGCGCCCTGGTCCTGCCTTTGCTGCTGGCGAGGCCTCTGAGCTCCCGTGCTGGGCTCCTCCGTGCCCCATGCAGGGGTCCGCATGCCCCCACCCCCAGCTGGCAGGTGCTGTCCTCTGCCCTGTGCACTCTCCTCTCCTGGACTGTGTCTTTGCTGAGGTGTGTGGAGGCTGCCCGGTCGGGTTGCCTCTCTTCCTCAGGGACACGCCTGACATTGGGGTACATCGTCGGACGTCCTGTCCCGGTCAACTTTGCCTGGCCTTGGGACACGGATGGCTGCATTTCATGGCTGGTGTGATGGGAGCCCCGCCCCCGGCTACGACTTCTCCCCCTGGCCTCTTCTCTGTTGATCATCTTTCTTGTCTCTTTTTAGCTCAACTGGGCCTTTTTTGTGAATTTGTTTTGCCCCTGAATTAGTTCAGGAGTCACACCCCATTTCTGTTCTTCTAGTGGCAGCCCTGAGAGTGACCCTGTGTGCACAGAGCCCGGCTCACGAGCAGCTCCCTCGGGCAGCTTGGGCCTTTGCACGTGGGGCTCCCTCTGGGCCTCTGCACGGACACGGACACGGAAGGGTCTGGCTGTGGCCCGCGGCCCGCCAGCCGCGCCACTCCTGTGGGCCCCGCCTCTTTGCTCGTCCTTCATCCCATTGCTTCTCCTTTCGCGGAGGTGTCACTGGCACCATCCACGGCCCGGACGGGGGCAGGGAAGTTGTCCCCCCACCCAGTAGTGCCCGTGTGCCCCTCACTTGAAACTCCGCGAAGTGTCCCACCATCTGAGTGCTGTCACTAGACACGCGCTTCGCTCCATCGTGAGCTCAGATGACAGAATCAGCGTAGAAGAACCCCCGGCGTTTCCTTCCGGCTTCCTTGACGAAGCCCTCTATCTCTGCTCTGGGGCACACGTGTGGGGGTGGGGGTCGCTGCAGGCACAACCCCCGCCCCCCCCCCCGTTTATGCACAAGAGCAAAACTGTCCCAGCCCAGGCATCTGCACGGGGCAGCTGTGGGCCCAATCTGGCCAGCAACTGGTTTTTGTCCAAAGCGTGAGCTCACGATGGGCTTACGAGTGGTTAGGAAAGGAAATCAAAATAATAATACTTTGTGGCTTGTGAAAAATCATACGAAATTGAAATCTGCCCATAAGCAAAGTGATTGGAACGTGGTGCGCCTACTCCCTTCCGTGGCAGTGTCCGCAGAGGCCCTATGTCTGGGGTCAGAAGGGTGCTGGGCCCTGCCCTGGACACAGGTGGACGGGGGCCCACCAGCCACCATGCCCAGCACCTCCCTGTGTCCCCGTCGACGCGCCACACCCTCCCCTCCTGCTGGGCACGTGTGTTTGGCCCGTCGGCCGCAGCTTGGCCGGTGTCACTTTCCTTCTGTGCGGTGGGTCCTTGGCGTCTCCCCGCTGAGTCTGCGGTCTCCGCCTCTGGGATGGGAAGGTGTCCTCGCCCGGCTGCCCTTGAACGTTCCGTGGAGTTGGGAGTCTGGTTTGACAGGTCTTTCCGTGCGCAGGTGGGGGGCCAGGCCAGGCTGCTGCAGGGCCGCCAGAGGCCGCGAGTGTCTGTCCTCAGTCCTGCACACTTTCTGTCCTTTTTCTCTTGGAGACCCGTCCTCCTTTTCCTCACCTTTCTGTCCCTCCCGGCTCTTGTACTGAGTTCAAGGGGACCTCTCCCGGCCGGGGTCCCCGTCACCGTGGGCGCGGCTGGGCCGAGCTGGCGCCAAACCTCCCGTGTCTTGGGGGAAGGGCGGCGGCTGTTCTTTCCAAATCGCTCTTCGGAAAGTCCAGGTCCCACCAGATGTTTGAAGCACGTCGTTTCTGTGCGGGCTCGCGGACTGGGGTGGCTTTGGCGCAGTCGTGCTCCTGGCGCCTGGTTCGCCTGGCTTGCTCTGGCCGAGGCCTGCAGAATGCGCTCTCCTCCGGGAAAACCTCCTGGGGGGCCTCAGGGCCTGTGTTCATGTCACCCCATTCTCCCTGCCCTCTGTGGCCTGCTGCTCACCTCCCAAGACCCCCAGGGCCAGGGGAGATGCGAGGTCAGGGGGTCGTCTCCCAGCTAGTGGGAGTGAAAGCTCGAGGGCAGGTCGGGGGGCCACAGTGTGGGACCGGCAGTGACCTGGGGGTGACTGGCCTTCCGCCCTGTTCCAGCCACACCTGTACTCTGTGGCGGGCACTGGCTGTGGAGCCCAGCCTCACCACGCAGGTCCTGGGGCTGCTCCTGGACAAGATGAGCAGGGACGTCCCGTTCAAGGAGACCCGGGCCTTCCTGCTGAGCAGCTCCCCGGGCCGCGAGGCCACTCTGCTACCCCTTGCGGTGAGTGGGGTCCCGGGGCTGACGCATGGGGCCCCGCACGGCCTTCCCCCTGCTTGTCGAGGAGGCAGGGTGAGGGGCCGGCCGTGTTGCTGCCGGCAGGAGAGCCCCACAGGTGGCCTGGGTGCCACCCTTCAGGCACCTGGCAGCTAACAGCGGTGCGGCGCCGGGCCCGCTAGGAGGCCGGGCTCGTAAAGGCCCCACAGGTGTTGGTCCCCAAGGGCATTGACTCCGTTTCATCCTGCGGAAAAAAGTAAGCCCGCTTGGCAACACTTTCAGCAGTAAAGCAGCTGTGAGAATTCCCTCCTCCTCCTGCTATGGAACCTAGCGCAGATGGCGGGAGGCCTGTCCCCAGGGTGGCCACACTGCCCCCGTGCCTGCCTCCGGCCCCTGATGGCCCAGCTAGGCTGCAGCCTTCCCTGGGGCCGAGCTCTCCACGCATACGAGCTGCATGCCGGGATGGGCTGCGGGCTGGGCTGGTTTTGGGGTGCAGGGCCCAGCCTTCACCGTGGCCAGCCCCTGAGGGAGGGCTGAGCCTGAAGCGGCCCCTGTCCCCAGGCCACGTGTGCGCTGTACGAGGTCATGAGTGCGCCAGCGTCCGGGCCTGCGGTGCTCGGGCTCTACCCCCAGCTGTTCGCGGCGCTGCTGCTGCGGGTCAGCTGCACCGTGGGCGTCGTGCTGCCACGGACCCTGCAGGCCAAGGAGAGGAGGAGCGCGGCTGTTGCTCCAGCCCCCAGGACCCTCGAGCCCTGCAGGTAGGCGGGACCCCCCCCCCCACTGCGCCCGGGACTGTGGCACGAGCCCCTGTGTGTGTACGCGTGTGCAAGGCCGCCCGACGTCCTGGCAGTCAGGGACAGGACCGGAAGCGCAGGCCAGGCCTTGGGGGCTTGGCTCAGGGCCTGCTTTGTGTCTGGGACACGGGTACTTCCCCCGGGGATGATGTCCCAGGTCCCACAGTCAGGGCTAGGGTCTGTGGGGGGACAGTTGCCGCTTCCCCATGGCCTGCAGGGGCTTATAGGACACTCAGGTAGGTCCAGAGTCCTGTCTCCTCTTGAACGTAGAGCCACGGGGAGTGTTTGGGGTGAGAGGAGCAGGGGGTGAGCCCCCACCTACAGCCCCACGTGTGCCGCCTCAGTCCTGAGCTCTGGCTTTCTGCCGCCCTCCCACCCCATCAGGGTGTCAGACGCCCAGCCCCGCAGAGAGGGCTCTGCAGCAGCCCCACACCACCAGCCCGTACAGCCCCCTCCCCTGCTGCTGACACTGGGGTGTGGGAACCTTGTGGTCTCTACCAAGTGGGCCCGGGGTCCTGGGGCAGCAGGCCAGCGGCTGGAGCAGCCTGCCAGCAGCAGTCACCAGAGCTTCTGGCGCTGGGACACCTGCCTGCCTGACCTGGTCTCTGGGCTCATTTCTGCGCCCTCCGGGGAGGCATGTCAGGGCTTCAGGTGACCGCCCCAGGCCACAGGGCGACACAGGAAGCCCGAGAGACAGTGAGCTCAGGCTGCCTCCCCACCCACTGCAGGCCTGCGGGGTCAAGTGGCCCTGGGGGGGCGCAGCAGGCAGCATTTGCTTGTCCCGCCAACCCCACCGGGCTGCCCCACCACAGGAGCCGCTCACACCTTTTGCCGGAGACCATTCCCCAGAGCCTTCTGGTTGTGCAGACCAAGCGGAAAATTGAATGGACTCGGCGCCTTGGCCTGGCACACCGACCCCGCTCCACGGCCTGGGAGCTGCAGGGCTACAAGCCTCCAGCCCCCATCAGGCTCCCCAGCTGCCACCCCTGAGCTGAGGGATGCAGGGCCAGGGCTTGGAAGTCCGACCCCAGGAAGGGCCCCATCTGTAAGAACCCTGGGCAGCAGGGCGGACAGGCCATGGTGGTGCCTTATCCGAGCAGTTAACACACTTCTCGGGCAAACCCGCATCCCGGCACTTGAGCTGGGTCACAGCCCGTCGGAACTGAAACTGGCCCTGAACAAGCCGTCTGGGTCACAGAGCCCCTGCCGCTCGTGGAGGCCTGGCGGGAACCCGCGGCCAGACACTAGCGTCATGTGCGCTGCCCTAGGGGCGAGGTGGCCACTTGCCGGGGAGAGGTCAGCCCTGGGGAGGGTGGGAGGCGCTGTTGCCCCGGCGCCCCCTGTGCGTCCCCCCACAGCCCCGGTGGGCACGCTCAGGGCTACAGGCTTTGCCGCGGGGTTCTGCCGATGCCTGCGCTCTCCCGAGACCCAGGCCCGCGGGGTCCCTCCGCCGTTGCCTGCCTGCTGCCAGCCCCGAGTGCTTCCAAGTCAGCTGGGCAAAAGACAGTTGCTAAATCCCAGCTGCGCCCTGGGGGCTCCGGCCGCTCCTGCAAGGGAGATGGGAGAGGCAGGTGCCGGCAGGGCTGGGTGAAGGCGGCGGGCACAGCCGCGCCTGCCATCCCCCCAGCGGCTGGGTCGAGGTGGGGCTGGACGCGCCCCAGCCAGCCGCCGGCCCCGTCCTGGCCTGTGGGCAGGGTTGCCCTCCTCACCTGCACGGAGCCCCACCTGCCATCCCTTCCCTGGGCTCTGGGGTCTCCCGGGGAGGGTGTGGCTGTGCGCCTATGAGCACGGGGGCCTCGTTCTTGGGTGCCTGGACCCTGCTCCTCCGGCTGCCCGCATCGGGTCCCCCCGCCGCTCATCCGAAGACCCCTCGTAAGTCAGACCCTGACCTGCCTTGGGCTTCACTATTCTCCATAACTTTCTATGCTCTTTCTTCTGTTTCTTATCTTAATTAAATAGAGGTCATCAAGGCAAGTGAAAAACTCTGTAGGTTGTGACACTAACAGTGCCGTGGGGCCTTAGGGCCACTGCTTGCTGCAACCCCCCACCTGCCCTTCATGGGGTGGTGGTCAGAGGATCCAGAGCCACCTCCTGGTGCCCAGCTCCAGGTGGAGGAAGCCTGAGGGGCCCCCCAGAGGGTGCTGCTGGCAGGGCACAGGCCAGGCAGCCCTGAGACATCCCCCCCACCCAGGAGGCGGAGCCTATGTGGGGGGCCCTCTGGCATCCCCAGACCCATCTGCGCATGTCCCTACAGCTCTGCCGTGGAGGCCCTGCAGGCCATGCTGCTCCGGGGCGGCAGCGAGGACGTGGTGCAGCGCATGGAGCTGGAGGGAGGCTGGCAGCTGCTCAGGACCTCAGCGGGGCATGAGGAGGGGGTCGCCCGGCTGGCCAGGTTCGGTTTGGGCTGTCTGGGGCCCTGGGACCCCCACACATGAGGACCAGGGCCCTCCGCCCTGCTGCACAGCTGGGCTGGCGACCTCCCCTGGGTGTGTGCAAGTGGGGAGGCCACCAAGGCAGCTATGCTGACAACTTGGGGCAGGGGGTGAGGGCCCAGGAGGGGAGGCAGGGGCAGCCCGAGGCCCCAAAACTTACAGTGTGTGGCTGGCCTCCCTCCCTAGTGCCATGGCCAAGTTTGCGGGCCCCCGGCTGCCCCTGGTGATGGCGGCGCTCGTGTGCACACAGGGCAGCATATATGAGATCCAGCGGGTCACCTCCACAGGGTTTCTGGCCGAGGTAGGGGTCACCTGCTCCAGATGGCCACGGGGCCTGAGAGGGCGGGGGAGGCTCTGCCCCACCGGTGGGAGATGGCCCCACTGTGCGCCCAATGAAGAGAGGCCTTGGCTGTGGGGTCCGTGCTGGGCCCTCTGCAGGGGCGGGGCCCTCTGCCCGGGCCCCAAGCATCCCTCCCTCCGTAGCCCTTTTGTGGCTGGCCGTGACCGTGCCAAAGATGGGCCCCGAGTGAGCTGGGTCGAGTCAGAGACGAGAGGCACTGGCCACGTGCCCTGCTCCCAGCAAGTCTGGACCAGGCCCGGGGTGGGGACAAGGCCCCGGGGGCCAGTGCAGCGGGCGGTCACTGCACCTCTGCTTCCAGCTGCTGAACAGCAACGTGGTGAATGACCTCATGCTCCTGGAGTCGCTGCTGGACAGCCTGGCGGCCCGGCAGAAGGACCCGTGCGCCAGCGTGCGGCGGCTGGTGCTGCGAGGCCTGGCCAACATCGCCTCTGGCTCTCCGGACAAGGTCAGGAGCGCTGCGTGGGCGCTGGGGCTGGGCATGGGGGCGGGGGGCCAGCGGGCAGCACCATGGCGACGGGTCTGCGGGCCGGGGCTTCCCGACCTGGGGCACAGCTGAATGCGGGCCCCCCCCAGGTGCAGGCCCATGGCCCCCAGCTTCTGACCGCTGTACTTGGCGGGCTGGACGACGGGGACGACCCTCACAGCCTGGTGGCTCTGGAGGCCATGGTGGGCCTGGCAAGACTGCTGGACCTGATGGAGCCCCAGGACCTGCACCCTGTGCTGCCGCACGTCGCCATCCGCATCCGGCCCTTCTTCGACAGTGTAGGCTGGGCGGGGCGTGGGGGCCCGAGGCCTCACGTTCCTCCCACCCCCGTGGCACCTCCTCTCTGAGCCTTAGGCCCCGGCTCTACCCTGCTACCTGGGCCCCACAGCATGGGTGTCCCCCCTGTGCCCCCCCCCCCGCAGACCCTCTAGAGCGCGGTGCTGGGGTCCTGGGGTCCCAATCCCATGAGGGCTAGTTCTTTCTTGCCAGCCCCTCTCCATCCCTCCTGGGTGCCCGTGCCGGGCAGGGCACATGCCCATTACACAGGGACAGGGAGGGTGGCATAGGGAAGCGGCCTGAGGCCCGGCACTGGCGGACACCGGCCCGTCCACCCCCTACCCTCGCAGGAGAAGGTGGAGCTCCGTTCTGCCTCCATCCGCCTCTTCGGGCACCTCAACAAGGCCTGCCACGGCGGGGGCTGTGAGGACGGGTTCCTGGAGCAGGTCGTGGGCGGGCTGGTGCCCCTGCTGCTGCACCTCCAGGACCCCCAAGCCGCCGTGAGCAGCGTGAGTCTCCCGCAGGGGCCGGGCGGGCCGGGCTCTCGGTCGCGGGGACTCACCCGGACGACCCGCAGGCCTGCAGGTTCGCCCTGTGCATGAGCGGCCCCAACCTCAAGTGCGAGGAGCTGGCCGCGGCCCTGCAGAAGCACCTCCGGGAGGGGCGGGGCCTGCACTTCGGGGAGTTCCTCAACTGCGCCTGCAAACTCCTGGTGAGGGCCGGGCCCGGGGCGCGCGGGCGCCGGGGGCATGGGGGCCGGGGGCGCGGGGTCCCGGGGCGGGCGGGGCCCCGCTCATGGCTTCTCGGCAGATGCACCACCTCCCAGACCTGCTGGGCCGCCTGGTGAGCACCAGCCTGTTCTACTTCAAGAGCAGTTGGGAGGACGTCCGCGCTGCCGCCCCGATGCTCACAGGTGAGCCGCGCCCCCTCAGGCCACACCCACCTGTCTGGCCCGCCCCTGGCCACACCCCTAACCCCGCCCCGCCGCCCAGGGTTCCTGGTGCTGCACGCGGAGGCAGAGCACCGGCCGCAGGTGGACCTGGAGCCGCTCACAGCAGGTCAGCCCCGGGCGAGCCCCGCCCCCACCCCACCCCCAACCTGTCCGGCTGTGCGGGGCCTCAGTGACCTGTGGGCACCAGGGGGGACTAAGTGATTTTCCTGGATTTCAAGGATTTTTCCCCTGTCACTGGTGACCTCATCGTCTCTAGTAATTCACGGAAACTTCTTAACTGTTCCAAAAGAGCTTAAAAAACACTAAAAAAGGAAAAACTATCTTTCCGTTGGCTCTCAGGCGCTCCCGGCAGAGGCCTGTCTTAGGAGGGCGGTGGGCGGGTGGCCCCAGCGGGCGGGAGCGGGAGGGGGTGCGCACCGGGAGAGAGGTAGGCCCAGGCCGGGGCTGGGTGGTGGGGTGCTGGCAGCGGCCCTGGGCTCGGGGCGTCCTCTAGAGGCTGCACGGGCAACCCTCGGCAGCAGCCCGCTGTCCCCCCCCACCCCCCCCAGCGCTCCAGCTGCTGCTCAAGGACCCAGCCCCGCTGGTGCGCGTGAAGGCTGCTGAGACTCTGGGCCGCCTGGGGAAGTTCGCCTGAGGCTCCGGCAGTGGCGCCGCCCCCACAAGCAGCCGCAGCCTGGGTCTGAACCCCCTGGGGGGGCCCCCAAGGAGCCCCGGCCCGAGGCCGAGTCCGAAGCTGCCGGCACCCCCGCCACACAGGGGTCCAACGCCTGCCCTTCTGGAGAGGCCGCAGGAGGCCAGTGCGGGGTGGGGGGGGGGGCAAGTGGCTGTACCCCCCACTCCGGTTTCCAATAAAGCCATTGGGTCCTCAGCAGGTGGCGTGGGAGTGCAAGGACCTAGCCAGTCCTCCAGGGGCAGCGGGGAGCGCCTGCACCCCGATCAGGAAGACTGAACTGGGGAAGGCCCCAAGCGGTGGTGGGGTGGCCGGGTGGAAACCCCGAATAAAGGCCACACAGCAGTCGTGGGGGACACTTGTATTGAGGGTCCTGAGCTCACACGTGCCCCGGGGCCTAGCTGAACAGGCGGATGGTGCCGTCGGCCCCTGAGGAGAAGACCCACGGCTGGGTGGGGTGGAAGGCCACGTCCAGGACCCCCAGGTCTCGGGTCGGCACATGCCCCCGCAGCACCTTCACTGGCACCAGCATCGGGTTCTGCAGCAGGTCACTGTGGGGGAGGAGAGCAGAGGGACTCAGGCGGGGGAGCACCCCTCCCCCAAGCCAGGCAGGGCGCGTGGGGCTCGCACTCACTTGTACACCATCCCGTGGCACACGGTGACGCTCCCGTCGTCTGAGCCAGATGCGAACAGTGGGTACCGGGGGTGGAAGGCCACAGCCCTGAGGGCCTTCTTGTGATGCCTGGAGGGCAGGGGCTGGTGAGGGCTCGGGAGGGCCAGGGCGGGCCCATCAGCACCCACACCCCCACTCCCACTCACCTCAGCACCCTGTACGGCTCACAGGAAAGGTCCAGGTCGAACCACACAAGCTTGCTGTCATAGCTACCACAGATGACGTTGTCTCCTGGGGGCGCAGGGGCTGGTGGGGACCTGCGGGTGCACACTCCCCTGCCCACGCGCCTGCCCGCCCTCACCTGCAGGTGCACGCCCCCCCCCCATGCCCCGGCGCCCTCACCTGCAGGGTGCACGGCCAGGCTGGACACCCACTTGCAGTTGGGTCGGAGCTTCTTCGTGAGCTCCTGGCGCAGCAGGTGGTACAGGCGGACAGCGCGCTGGGAGGCCACCAGCAGGAAGGGTCTTAGGGGGTGGAAGGCCACGCACTGCACGTGTCCGTGGCTACGGCGGAAGGGGCTCTGGCTGCGGCGCCGGCTCAGCTGGTGGATCAGCACCTGCGTGTGCCCCGCGGCAGCCAGCACCACGGCCATGTAGTCCCCACGCCCGTGCCAGGTCACCTGTGTCACCGGCTGCAGAAGGCAAGGCTGGCTCAGTTGTGCTCTCCGCGGCCCTTGACCACCCTAACCCCACACCCCCCCCCGACAACCCCCACACCTTCCCGTGGCAGATGCGCAGCCGCAGGCCCCCCTGGCGCTCCTCCTCCGAGGCCTCCAGCCAGCGGGCGGGCTGCACCGCGGGCTCCTCGGGCGGGACGAAGGCACTCAGCAGCTGGTCCGTGCTGCCCGCCACCAGCCGGTCCCCCAGGGCCGGGTTCAACAGCAGCACTGAGTCCTCTCTGCAGGCCAGAGTGACAAGCGGCCCCTCAGGCGCAGGTCTGCACCCATGGCCCCCAGCGCACCCTGGGCCGCCCACTTACACCGCCACGGCCACCAAGCAGATGGTGGGGCGAGGGTTCCAGGCGACACTCTTTACCACGCCCCCCATGGGCACAGTCCTCATGCAGCGGGCAGTGGCCACCTCCCAGAGCCGCACCGAGCCGTCATCAGAGCCTGGACATGTGAACAAGGCCCTCACCAGCTGCCCTCCCGCTCCCCAGCAGCACCCCAACCCCCTACTGGCAATGCCCCCACCTCAGGCTCACCTGAAGCCAGCCACTGGCCATCCGGGGAGACACTGAGGCAACGGACAAGGTTGCTGTGGCCCCTATAGACCTATGGAGGAGGATCAGTGAGGAGACACCCCTCCCAGAGGCTCCCCCCACCTGCCCATCCCCCACCCACTCACCAGGGCCTGGCACGTGGGGAAAGGCTGCAGGTCCCGCGGCCGGGGCAGTTTCGGAATGAGGTCTTCAGGGTCCACGTTCACCTGGACCAGGAGAGCACGAGGTCATCCCGCCCCACGTCCTGTGGCCCCCCGCCCCGTTTCCCCCCCGCGCACTGCCCCCCCCTGCCACACACCCGCATCTTGCGCTGCCGCGGGCACAGGTAGAGGTCGAGGCAGCGCTCGAAGCGCTCCTGGATAAACCGTCCGTACGCGGGCACGGCCCGCAGGCTCGGGAACTTGCGGGGCAAGAAGTTGAGCTTCCTCTCGCCCGGCTCCTGCTGCTCCCACGCCAGGCGCTACAGAGACAGGGATGAGCTGGGGGCCCAGGGCCAGGAGCGGGGGCCCAAACCCCCACCCCAGGCCGAGGCCCACCTCCTCTTCGCTGGGCAGGTACTCGGGGGGCGGGTTGTAGGACTCTGCGTGGCCGGGCAGGGCCAGCTTCGGCGCGGGCACATGCATCTTGTGCCGGCCCAGCACGGCGTCCGGGTCCTCCCGCGCCCAGAGGTCGTAGAAGCTGGGTGTGTGGTCCCGGGGCCGGCGCGGCTGAATCCAGCCCATCTTGATGGCGTGCACCATCCGAGAGACCTGCGAGGCCGGGGCCAGTGAGCGCGCGCGGGGACGCGGGGGGCGGAGGTCCGGCCGCGGCAGCGGGGTGTGGCCGGCAGCCAGCGCCTACCTTCTCCTTCTCCACCAGGGACGGGATGAAGCTGCGCTTGTCAGCGGGTCGGTTGGTCACCGGGTGCAGCATCAGGTCACCACTGAAGAAGTCCACGGCCGGCTGAGGGCACAGCGGACAGGTGGGCCCGGGCTCTGCGGCGGCCCCCGCACACCCAGGGCGAGCCGCTGCTACCCACCTCGTACGGGTCGCAGCTCCCGTCCCCAAACTGGCCGCTCTGCAGCCGCCGCACCAGGGCCACCTGCTCGTCGGTCAGCCTCACGTCGTGCCCAGTCATCCGGTCCTGCACCGTGCGCCTGGGGGGGTCGCGATCAGAGCCGAGCACGAAGCCCCCCACCCCGCCCCCACTGGCCCCAGCCCGAGGCTGCGCACCAGTAACCGGGGTCGTCCATCTTGTCCAGAAACTGGTCCAGCTCGTCACGGGTCCGCAGCGGCTTGTAGATGCGCCTGCCGTCCAGGTCATAGCCCACGTGGGGGAAGTCATCGTACCACTCCAGGGGCACGTTGCCCACCGTGTTCCGGACGTCCTGGGGCAGCACGCCAGGCTGTCAGCGTCAGCGCCCACCGTGCCCATCCTCCCTGCAAGCGCCCCAAGAGTCACAGGCCGGGGCGGGGGGAACCAGCGAGAGCGAGGGGACGGGCCTCGAGGCTGCTGGGACGGTACCCAAGCACCCTGACATATGCCCTCTCCCTGGGGTGTGACGTGGCGCAGTGGCCAGTGCTGTCCCCCCCCCCCGCCCCTCAGAGGCGCCGGAGCTGTACCTTCACATTTTCCACTGAAGTGGTGCCAACCCCAGAGCCTCCCCCCGGATTCCTTGGCCAGGACTCTGGGCAGCCACAGACAAGGGTGACCTCATCGCCCATGGGCTCCCTCCCCTGGTGGGGGCCTTAGGCAAAAATGGGTAGCCATGGGCAGGGACTCAGGGAAGACCCTGCCAACCCGCTCCAAGGGGAGACAGAAGCCTCTGCATTCTGCCCTGCAGGCATTTGTGGAACCCCCCAGCCCTCCCTGGTCCTGCCCCCCCCCCCAGCAGCCACATTCCTGGACACACATTCCTGGTCGAGGCCCCTGCCAGCCACCACCCTCCCTCCGCCCAGCACAGAGACTGCTGCCCAGGCGGCCGCTTCCTGAACAGTGGCCACAGGGGGAGGGGCCCAGAGGAGACTGAGCACAGTGGGGAACCCAGGGGCCCCTTGCAGGAGCACAGGACCCCCTGAACTCGGCCCCTCTGCACCTGCCTGCCCTAGTCCTGCCAACTTCCGTGGTCCCAGCGAGGCCATCCTTCGGGGACACCTCCTGTGCCCCTGGCCTGCCTTCTCTGCATGGGGGTGCGGGGGGAGCCACCACCCCTGAATCGGACAGACCCTGGAGCGTACACCAAGGGAACAGGGAGGTCACCCCACAGCAGGGTACAGCACGAGCTGGCAGAGAGCAAGGTGTCAGGCAGAAGGCACAGCTTGTGCCACAGCTGGAGGGCATGGCTGACACCGGGAGGCTGGGCCACCCAGTGACCCCACGCACACCCGGGGTGGGGGGCAGCCTTGGATGGTGGGGTGAACTCCAGCCCCCCAGGGCTTTGCGTCCCCTCCCCACTCTGCCTGCCACAAAAGGCCCAAGTGTACAGAGGAGAGAGACCCAGACAAACAGGGTGTGGCCCAGCACCAGCACCAGGGGAGAAGACCTGCCTGGGTCATGGGTCCCACTTGACCCTCCTGCCCCCTGCTGAGGCAGAGGATGAGGGCGGCAGAGCCCCGGTAACCCCCCAGAAGGGGACTCCCACTCCCCCACGGCCCCCAGAGACAGCGAGATGCTCCAGGCTCCTTCAGCGTGGCGCGAGAAGGCAGAGGGATGAGGGCCCCTGCTCCGCGCGGCCTCCGGGGGCTGGGAGGCGGGGAGGAGGGCGGGCCGGCGCGGGGGAGGGGCCGCCGCCACTATAAAGGCCCGGCCCGCGGCCCCGCTCCAGCCCGGGACGCACACGTGCGCGCGGCGCCGCAGCCGCCACCGCGGGCCCCCGAGACCCGCGCCTCCCCGGCCCCGGGCGGCCGCGCGGCGGGCGGCATGCGCTGCGCGAGGCGGAGCTGACGGCGCGCCCGCCGGCCCCATGTCCTTCGCCATGCTGCGCTCGGCGCCGCCCGGCCGCTACCTGTACCCCGAGGTGAGCCCGCTGTCGGAGGACGAGGACCGCGGCAGCGAGAGCTCGGGCTCCGACGAGAAGCCCTGCCGCGTGCACGCCGCGCGCTGCGGCCTCCAGGGCGCCCGGAGGCGGGCCGGGGGCCGGCGGGCGGGGGGCGGCACGGCGGGGCCCGGGGGACGGCCGGGCCGAGAGCCCCGGCAGCGGCACACGGCGAACGCGCGCGAGCGGGACCGCACCAACAGCGTGAACACGGCCTTCACGGCGCTGCGCACGCTCATCCCCACGGAGCCGGCCGACCGCAAGCTCTCCAAGATCGAGACGCTGCGCCTGGCCTCCAGCTACATCTCGCACCTGGGCAACGTGCTGCTGGTGGGCGAGGCCTGCGGCGACGGGCAGCCCTGCCACTCGGGGCCTGCCTTCTTCCACGCCGCGCGCCCGGGCAGCCCCCCGCCACCGCCCCCGCCGCCCCCGCCCCGCGACGGCGAGAACGCCCAGCCCAAACAGATCTGTACCTTCTGCCTCAGCAACCAGAGAAAGTTGGTGAGTGTGGCCCGCAGGGCAGACACGGAAAGGGACCAGGAGGCTGTGGCAGTCTCTGCCTCGATATCACCCTAGCTACCCACACCTGCTGGGCAGAGACCCTGGCCAGAGGCGGGCAGAGCTCCCCACCCCCCACCCCCAGCATCACCTGTGACCCACTGTGCCCCTGGGGTCCGGGGAGGGAGAAGCACAGGAAGGCCCAGCTGGGGCCAGCAGGGCCGGGCCTTCCTTGGGCCTTCTCCCCTCGAGTCCCCAGGGACACAGGCGCCCATGGGGACCAGACAGGGCCAACCATCGCTACATGGGAGTCTGGGAGGCGGAGAAGACACCAAACTAGAAGAGGCAGGGGGCTAGACCAGAACTGGTTCAAGAAACTCTGGCCCCCCCAACCCTGTCCCCAAAGGAAGGGGACTCCCCCTCCCCCAACCCCATCTGTTTGCCCTACCACAGCCCCTGCCACTGGCCTAAAGCCTATGGGGCACCTGCTAGCTCTCCCATAGCCCTCACCCACACCCCTGGGGCTGCCCACTCAGACCCCGGGGGCAGCCGTGGGCTCTGCAGACAAGAGGCTGGCTGGAGATGTGGGGGCTGGGGGGGAGGGAGGGCCACGTTGCGGGAGCGCTGGCCGGCTGATTTACAGCTCCTGCTGTGCTTGGTGGCACCGGAAAAGCAGGGTGAGTGGGGAGAAAATGTGGCGCGGCTTTTCCCGATCCCCATTTCCTCTCCAGACAGCACGCGTGAGCTCCTGGGGCCTGAACATCTGGGAAATTTAATTTTACAATTTCGGCTGTGCAGCAGCGCACTCTCCTCCCCAAACTGCACGGGGAAGCCGGGGTGAGCGTGGAAGGGGGTGCTTTCAGCACCCGCCACCTGAGACAGCACCCCGTGGGGAAGCCCAGAGGTGCGGGCTGGCACTGGGTCTGCGGCCAGGCCCTGACACTGACCCCTCCCCTCTGCAGAGCAAGGACAGAGACAGAAAGACGACGATTCGGAGTTAGAGACGGACACCGCTGGGCTAGCCACAGAGAGCTCCCATGGACCGGACTCGGGCACAGGCCTCCTGTGAGGGCGCCCAGCGAGCGAGCCTCGCCTCTGGCCACGGCGGGGCCAACGGACAGACAAGTGTGCGGGACTCTGCACGGGCCCGACAGGCCCAAGCCCACCGGAGCCTTCCGTGCTGGCTTCCTACCTGGGTTTTCTTCTGGTCACTACATGCTGGCATCTTGTGTCTTTGATACGATAATATAAAGTCTGGAAACTTTGTATAATTAAAAACAAAACAGTATTGTCCAACCGTGGAAGCACCCTGTTCTCTTGAACGGTTCTGACCCAGCCTGAGCCCGGCCCTCACGGCGCTCTCCGTGCTCTGCTCTCTCCAAGCTCAGTCCTCCCGGGTGCCTCGTCGTCAGGGAAGGCCTCCACCCTTCAGGGGCTGGGTCATCCCTCCCAGGCCTGAGGCAGAGTGAGGCACCTCCCCCGGGCCCTGGGGGCTGAAGGAGACAGAAGAGGGAGAGGAGGGAAAGGAAAGGACGGAGGGAGCCCACTGCCACGCAGCAGGGGACCGGCCAGTCTGGCCTTGTCTCCGAGGGCCTGCCGGGCACCCAGGCGTCCCTGAAGGGGTGAGAAGGGCAGAGCTCGCAGCACAATCACGTCAAGCCTCCCGGCCTCAGCCTTTGCCGAGAGACCCACAAAGCGGACGCCTGGGGGAGGTGGAGTGAAGGGCGCTGCCCAGCACGGCAGGTTCCCAACCTGGGTGGGCCTAAGGGTACAGGTCACCTGCGTTCACCCTTGAGTGCCCACCCTGAACCCCCAAACGGGGCTCTGAGTCCCACCCCTACTGGGCTGCCCTGGCTCCCCCACCCCCATGAGCTGCGAGACGAGAGGAGCTCCGTGACCCCGCCCCCACCCTGCGCACAGCCCCCTGCGGCTCCCCCCACCACCACCGCTGCGCCCCACCCGGCTCCTCCAAAGGCCCACCTGCTCGGGGGCAGGGTGATTTCAGGCCCCTCCCGAGCTGCGCACAGCTGGCTGACCATTAAAATCCCGCAGGTGACAATTATGCTCTGCCCGCACAGCAGAGAAGAAAGGCAGGGGGCAGCCCTCTGCGAACCCCCTCCCCCCTCCCCTCCCCCTCATTGGGCCGGGCGGGCCAGCAGCCTGACTTCCGGCCAGGCCAGACCACAGAGGGAATGGCCGAAGGCGCCAGGTGCCAGCACTGGGCCCTCCGAGCCCTCAGCACAGGCTCCAGAGGCCCCCACTGACCCACCCTCCTGGGTCCCCAGGGAGAGGCCAGGTGCTGAGGCCCACGTGGGCACCCCAATAGGGCAGGGCCAGAGCTGCCCCCTCCTCTGCACCGAGGGGCTCCGGGGAACTGCGAAGCAGGAAGCGGTGGTGTAATTTTGGAGGAAACTCTCAAAGCCAGAGCCATTAAGGGCCAGAGGGGGGGCTGTGTCCAACGTGATAGAAATATAACAGGATAAAAAGTCGCCATGGCAGGTTCCACTCCGAGAGAAACCCAACCCCAAGTTTCCTTTCCCTAATCCTGCAGGAGCCCACAGCCAGCCGGAGGAGGGGGGAGAGGGCAGGCCCCGCCCGAGACGCAGGGGTCCAAACGGGGGGGGGGGGGGGGGGGGGCGGGGGGGGCCCCGGGGGGGGTGGCGGGGTGGGGGGACAGGTGCACCCCAGGCCTCTGGGCCTGCCTCCCCCACCTCACTGCGATGTTCTGTGGGGAGGGTCTGTGGCCCACCCACCCCCCACCTACTATAATCACACGCCCACGCCGGAGCCTGGGTGGGAGGATGTAAACCTCCCTTGGGAAACCCCGTCAACACAACGAGCGCGCAGGCGGGTGCCCACCTCGAGGCCACAGAGCGGAGCGTGTGAACAGGGGACACGTACCACGTGAGGCCAGAGAAGGGTGAAGAGGGAGGGGCACCCCCCGAGCCCCACGGCTGAGGGGGTGTCAGGAGGCCTCCACAGGAGGTGCTGCGGCTCTGGGAGGCCAGCAGGAGAGGACAGACCCGCTGGGATGGCCCCCGGGGACCTAGCCTGTCGGGGCCCAGCGTGCATGGGCCAGTTCCCCGAGGCCGGGCCTGTGACTCCCGACAGCGGCTGCAGCTTGGCCGACTTGGGCCTGGGCAGCGGGCCCAGGGCTCCCTGAGCTGCTCCGGTAGCAGCGATGCGGCGGCGAGGGCCTGGCCCGCCAGCCAACAGGAGGGAGCAGAGGGGGCGGGGGAGGAGCACTCCGTCACCCTTCACTGCTCCAGAAATTCAAACCAGACTGGGGGTGGCGGGCCGGCCCGAGCCAGGCGGCCCCATCTGAGTCCACTCGCTGAGCAGCCGCTGGGCTGGGGGTGGCAGGTGCTCCTTGCCCCCTCACAGGCCCTGCTTCCTTCCCAGAACGCTGGCCTCGCCTTCCACCAGGAGGGACAAAGACCCAGGGCTCCCCGTGTGTGCGCCCCAGAGGCAGCTGGAAAGGAGGGGCCGGGCCCGCGCCCTGGGCCAGCCACCGCTGCCGCCGCCGCCGCTGTGGGCCAAGCTGGGCTGGAAACACTCTGATCGGCCCCGGCTGTCAGCTCCCTGTCCCCAGCCTGGGGAATGAGCTGCTGGCGGCCCCACATGATTCATCACCAGGCCTGAGCCCGCGGGCCAGCCGGCCCCCACCCTGTTCAGCACCTGTGGGCTGCCAGGAAGCACATGTGACCCCGTGGGGCAAGCACCCCCCGACCCCTCCAGGTCAGGCGCCGAGCTCGGAGGCACAGGCTGAGGACACAGACGCCTCCGTGCTCTCCTGGGGGGGGCCGCTCTACCCCAAGGACAAGCCTCTGGGAGGGGGCCAGCGGGGGTCCCCCACCCCCCAGACTGCACCGGACACGAGCAGCAACTGGTTGATGTGTCGGCTGGGGTTTTTCCGCTCTCGATGAGCCCCTCCCCTCCCCCTCCCCAAAGTGGCTGCAGCTGTCAGGACCGCAGATTGGAACTGCAGGTACGGCGCTGGCCCGCTGCCCGCCTCCCTCCCGTGTCTGTCTGCGAGAGAGGAAGCCGGCCCACCTCTGGAATCCTTCACTCTCTCCTCGTTCTGCCTCTCCCACCTGTCCCCTGGGAGCATGGGGTCAGCCGCCCTCGCTCAGGCTCTCTCTTTTCCCTTGCCCCTCTCCGATTACAATGCCGGCAGTGTTCGCTCAGCTCCCCTGCACGAAGCTCCCGCCTGTCTCTGAGCGCCACTCGGCCTTCCCGAGCCCCGGCCTCTCCTGGCTCCTCCACGGTTTCATCTCCGTCAGAGCCCTGGGCGGGAGAAGGCCCGGCTGCGTGCTCCCCCGCTCACCTGCGGCACCAGCACCCACAGACGGTGCCAGCAGGACGAGGCCTGGTTCACAGACCAAAGGGGCAAGGCCAGGGAGGACCCTAGCAGGAGAGCAGCTAGATGGGCGGGGGAGGGGGCGGGTGGGGAGCTCAGAGCCGCCTTCCCACACTGCCTCCATCAGACCACCGTGGTCATTTGCCGACTCAGGCAGGGGGCACATCTGCCACGGCCGACCCAGACTCCAGCACCCGCTCTGTCCATCCCTCTCCAAGGTGCTGTCAGCCAGGCCCACCCAAGCCATCACACGCGCACTGACACAGGACCGTTCGGAGCCCACTGCCTGGCCCCCACCAATTCCTCCGTGACTTGGGGGCAGCAAGTGCAGCCTCCACGGGGTCCATGGGAGCTGGGGAGCTCCCAGGCCCTCAGATCCCCCAGCCCCCACCCACCCCGGTCGGCCCCAGGGTCCAATGGGCATTCCCACAGGGGTCCCCTGACTCTTGGCTACCTACAGGCAGTGGCTCTCCCGGAAACGGCCCTGGAGTGCTGGAGGTAGGCACAGACCCACCTCTGTGGAGCGGCAGAGACCGGTTCTGAGACCCACGGGTCAAGCAAGAGCTGCTGGTGTGAGGGTGCCCGAGCCCCCCACCTGCCTCTGTCCCCATCCCCAGCACTCCAGGATCTCACTCTGGAAGACTCCCCTCAGCTCCTGCCTGTACCCCCTCCCCTGGGCCCCAGCCCACGATGTGACTATCCCTCACCCACCTTTCCTATAGAAGTCCCACCTCCGGTCCCCGGGGCAAACCCTCCTCCCCCAGGAGGCCCCTGTCCCAGCTCTCTCCTACCCACCTGCCTGGCTGGGTTCCTACTGCCAAGGAAACTGGCTGCAAGTGGGCACAGAGCTGGGACCTCCGCCACCCACGTGCCCCAGCAAATGGGGCGGGGGACGCAGCTCTGAATTAGCCCTACCTCCACCTGCCCGCTGCTGCACGGGGCCCCCAGTACTGAGACCCTGCTCTGTCCCAGAAGGTGTACGACATCCCTTATAGTGACGGCTGCTTCCACCACTGCACCCCGCACCGGCCCCCACCTTGCCCTCTCCATCAGGATGCTCTCTCCCTGCCGAGAAGCACCAGGCCCATGCGGGGGGGGCGCAGGGCTGGCAGGAGGAGGGCGTGCCCCCCCCCCCCGGGCCCAGGCGCCCGTGGCACCAAGGGGCACTCTGCGGTCACAGGCGTCACGCCCGCGGCGCCCTGCGGCCACCTGCAATGCCGCGGGTTGGACCAGCGGGAAGGGGCAGACTCGCAGGCCGGCGGCGGCGGGGGCGGAGGGCCGACACGAGCCGCTGAGCGTCGGGCGCTCTCCACAAACAGCCAGAAACCTGAGCCGCTGGGCTCCCGCTGCCAGCAGCGACGCAGGCGCCCTGAGCTCGGGGCGGCCAGGATGGGCGGGGCGGGGCCCCGGGAGGAGCGGGAGGCCGCCAGCGCTGGAGGCAGCTGCCGGTTCAGTAGCTGGGAGAGGCCATTAACGGCCGTTTGGCGAGAGAGCAGAGGGGATGGCGGGCTCTGGATACAGACAGGCCTGGGCCTGTCCCCGCGGGATCCCAAGTTACAGCGAGGCCAGAGCGCCCTCGGGGCGGGCTCAGGCTGCAGCCCCACCCCTGCCACCCCCAGCGGAGGTCCTGTGGGGGTGGGGGGGGGCAGGAGGGTGTCGGGCCGGGGTTTCAGGGACTTGGATGACGTGCCTCCCCACCTCTGCGGCCAGGGTTCATAGCCACCCCTCACCTCTCACCTCCAGCCGGCCTCAGTTTCTCCCCAAGGACTGAAACAAAGAGGGGCCCAAGGCTGTGAAGGCCGTCAGCCCCCTCCCCCAACACCGCCCCCCCCTCCCTGGGGTCCAGTGGCTGGATGAGATCACGTCTGTGAGGTGCCGGGGCTGTGGGAGAGGAGTGGGGTGGACACAGCCTGCGGCCGCTCAGCCTCCCCTGCCCGACCCAGCAGCACTTCGAGTGCACTCGGGCCCCAGTGCGGCTCGAGGCGTGAATCTGGGGACTGAGGAGTGCAAATGCACGAGAACAGACCTCAGACGGTCCAAGTATCACTCATAAGCCAACATCTGGGGGGCCCCCAACGCTGGGCCTGGAAGAGGCCAGCAGCCAGAGGGTCCAGAAGCCCCAGCACCCCCCAGCTCAGGCCTCAGATCCAGACTCAGGGAGTGGGCAGGGCAGGGCCCAGGGAAAGGGAGGCCAAGGGGCACTTGCACCTCACCCGCTGGCCACCACGCCACAGCGCTCACGAGGCTGTCTCTCCCAGGACCACCAACCCTGTTAAGCCACCACTGCTGCTGGCCAGAGCCTTACGTGGGGTCCAGACACCACTGGCCACCTCCAAGAATTCTGCTGGGAGAAGGCACTGCCCAGACACCATGGGTGTCCTCAGACTGTGGACCCTCACAGGCTCCAGAAACAGCACGACACAGCCACGGGGCCACACAGCCTCCAAGCCCCACGCTCCGAACCACGTACCCAGTGGGGCCTCTTCCCCAAAGTCCACTGCGCTCGCCTGGACTGCAGAGACACCCACGACGTGAGCGTGGAAGACACCAGCGCCCACGTGCGCCCCAAGCACCCCAGGCACACGTGCCGCTCCAGGGAGGGAAGCATCTGTCAGGCCTGGCGGAGCTCCTGAAAGATGAGCTCTGCCGCCCCCTCGAGCCGCCGGCCGGCTGTGCTGGCAGAAGCTGGGGAAGGCGGGCACCCGGGCCCCCTCCTGTCACTCAGACATATGGGATAGTCATCGCCGGAGGAAGCAGCCCCCGCAGCCCCCACCACCGCTCCGGGGCTGGCCGGGCCAGGCCGCGAGGAGCGCCTCCCTGTGGGCAGGCCCAGGCCCCTCCCCCCACCGCACTCCATTTACAACCATCATCGATTTCTCAAAATACCAAATATAAAAAAGTAGCCGACAGGATGTGGCTGCCGACAGCCAGAGCCCCTGGGAGGGGAGACAGGCAGGGAGCCGCACGGCACCGGCCCCCCCTCCCCATGCACGCCCGCTGCTCCGGCCAGGAAACCAATTTATTTTGTTTTGTCTCTGTTCTCTGAACGCACAGAGACCAGATCGGGCGGGCAGCCAAGGCTCCTGCAGCCGCTGCCAGAGAGCGCGAGCGTGGGGGTGGAGGCCGAGCAGGGGAGGGGGCTCAAGCCTCCCCAGGCCCCAGGACAGCCCCCGCTGGCAGCAGGAAGAGCTCTGGAGGACTGCTGTCCCGGTGAGGTCCGCATCAATGCTGCAGTCCTCCTCCAGCCGAGGCCACTGCCCACGGAGGCACACATCTGGGGGCACATAGTGGCACAGGGGCCACAGCCCTGCCAGTGACTGGGACGCACCTGGGAGGGCACGGGCAGGAGAAGGACAGCCACCTCGAGGCTCAGAGCGCCTAGCTTCCAGCCCTCCCAGAGCAGCAGCCCAGGGAGCAGAGACAGCCTCTGGCCCACACGCCGGGGCCTCTGCATGCCAGACAGGGCACCACGCCTGCCCCTTCAGACCCTAAGCTGGAGGAAGCACCTGGGATGGGGCCCACAACTGTCCACACCTCAAGGACACCAGGGAGGGAAGGGGCAGGGCACCCAGAGGCCACCCACCTCCTGCGCGAAGCTGCCAGGCATCGCTGTCCTCCGCACTCAGGTCTGTCACCATGAGGGCCCAGCACTGCCCCAGCCTCTCCGTGCCCACCGAGCATGAGCTCAGCCTCCACAGAGCACGAGGGACCCCAGCATCAGCCGGCCGCCCTACAGACACCCCTGGGGCTTCAATGCGTCACGTCCACCCCGCTTCCTTCCAGAGTGATGATGCACACTAGGAGACGTGCATCCCCAACCCTGAGATCGCCCTTCCGGACCCCAAGCACGGCCCCTTACAGCAGCCCAACTCCCCTCTACCCCGGGCAGCACGGCGCAGCTGGGGAAGGCGCACCCCCCCCCCCCGCCCCCGGCCCCTCGTGGAAGGCCAAGCCCAGCCCCACCTCCTCATCGGAGCTGTCCTCTGCATACTCGTCCCGGCCCTGCACGCTTGCCACCTCTGTCCTTGGGGGAGGGCTCCCGGCCTGTAGGAGAGAAGGGAACAATGGTTATGTCAGGGTGCTGACGCCCTCTGACCTCAGGCAGAGCCCGCGCCCACAGTCCCCTGCCCCTTCCTGATGACAGTGGCTTGGCAAGAACACACCGTCCCTCCCCTGGTGCTGCGCCCAAGGTTCCCGCCACCCCCAATCTCTAAGCAGCTCCAACCTGGCCCTGGGCCTTAAGACAAGATGAGCAACACCCCACGTCTACGTGGGCCTCTGGGGCCCCACCTGAGGGTCTCTGTCAAGGGCCCCACTCATCACCACGCGCTCCAAGGAAGGCCCCAGGGAAGGGCTGACACCTGTCCAGGCAGGAACAGAACAGTCGGCAACAAAGCCACCGCTGAAGGCCCGGCCGCCCCCACGCCCTTTAACAGAGAAACCGGCTGCAGGGCTCCTGGCACGACTGCCCGAACCCAGCCCTGCCGGGCCCCGGGGAGCCCAGGGTCAGGGAGCACAGAGGGGGTGGTACTTCGTGGCAGCAAGTAAGAGCCGGGCAGGGGGTTCCCCCACACCTGGCCTGGGCCCTCTGGAGAGTGTGTGGCACCTGCCGCCAGCCAATGCCATGGGGCCAGAGCCAGCCCTCTCCTAGGACAAGGCCCCAGGAGGCCTCAGTGGCCATGGCAGCTGGGAACCCCATTCAGCGCAGCCAGCCAAGGGCCCAGAGAACGCCGGGAGGACGTGACCCCCACGGTGACCCCAACACATGGGGTCAGGGATGGGAGCCCCGGAACATACACACCCTAACCTGGAAAACAGACGCTTCCCTCCCAGGGTGGGGGGAGTCGGGCGTACCGGAACCCGGACTGATGGGGAAAACAGCCCTGCCTTTCCCTCCTGGGCGCCGTCAAGTACTTGGGAGCAGGGGCCCTGAACAAGGCACCCCCGCCAGAGCCCCACTCCCCCGACAGGGCAGGAGCCAAAGGCCTGCGAGGTGGCTCTTCCTCCCGCCTGGTTTTCCCCTCAGTATAAGGAGGGTGGGAGATTAAGTTTTTTTCCAGGCCAGGAACAAGGCGGGATTCGGTTTCCATGTCTCCCCCACCCCCGCTCCCCATGCTGCACGCGCTGTGGGAGCCCTGCCCACTGAAAGTGGGTCAGCACGGCCTCATGGGTGCAGGGCGTGGGTGGGGGGCAAGCAGGGCAAGGCCTGAGCTCCTGCCCCCCACCAGGGCCCCAAGCTCTGCTCCGTCCTAGCCCACAGGGAGCCCCACCCCGAGCAGCAGCCAGGGGACACACCTGCCCCAGGCCCAGGGCCAGGCAACAAGTCTCCTGAGCAAGCGGGCTCCAGGGCTGCCCACGGCACCAGCCCGCCCACTGCTCTCCACCAGCTCGGAACTCCAGAGAGTCCCACACCACCTGTGAATGTGGCTCAGGTCACGGTCGTGGGGTCCCGGCAGGAAATGTCACAGCCCCTCGACCGACCAGGAAATGTCACAGCCCCTCGACCGACCCCCAGGATGCCCCTCGTCGCCCCATGCCGGGTGTGGCCAGCCCCCGGGGCAACCGAGTGCATATGCAGGGGGCCTGAGACAGGCAGGCCCTCCCCCAGCAAGGAGGGGTCCCCCCAGCCCTCCTCTGTCTCCCCCGCAGAAGTGCTGCTGCAGGGGACACGGTGGCCGCCAGGGGGCAGCAGAGGGCGGCCCAGCTCCAGGAACCTGGGGAGGCTCTGGGCGCAGCCCACATGCCTGGACACACTTGGGACTCTTGGGTACCAGGCATTTAAAAAGAGGAAAACCTCGGGGGCGCCTGGGTGGCTCAGTGGGTTAAGCCTCTGCCTTCGGCTCAGGTCCTGATCCCTGGGTCCTGGGATCGAGTCCTGCGTCGGGCTCTCTGCTCAGCGGGGAGCCTGCTTCTCCCTCTCTGCCTGTGATCTCTGTTTGGCATATAAAGAAAATCTTCAAAAACAAAAAGAGGAACACAGTGTGCAGCGGGCCAGCGGAACAGCTCTTGCTTCTCTGCCCAACCCCACAACCACCAAACACCATGAGGACCAAAGCAGGGGCCCCCAGGGGGTGCTGACTGCCTCCAAGGCATCTTATTGCAACTTCCGGGGCCCCTCCAGTCACCAGCGTCAGCCCGGGCTCAGCCAACCCCACTGCCCCCACCCCACGACAGCAGGGCCCCTCCACCAGCCCTTACAAGCAGGACCCTGAGAGCCCGCGGAGGCCCGCACGACGCTACCAGGCCAGAACTTGGCACCCTGTGCGGCCTTTCTGTGGGGTCCGTGAGATGCAGGAGGGAAAAGGGGAATAGCAGCCAACACAGCCTGAAGGTCCAGCGGGGTGGGTGTCCAGGGGAGGTGAGCTGGGCTGGCATGCGCCCGGGAGCCACGCTGGGAGCCAGACCGCTAGTGACCCATGGTCACCAGGGTCTGGTGTGGGGCAAACACTGTGTTCGCCAAAGAGCATCCACGGCCCCCGCTGCCTGCTGCAGACCCCCAGGCCAGCCCCCAGGGCTGCTCAGCCTCCTCAGGGACGTGGCTCCTGACAACGGTCTCCTGACACTGAGAGCGAACAGATGCGCAGTCTCTAAAGAACATTCGCCACGGGGGCCTGCAGAGCCCAGAGACAGCACGAGCTGAATTCAGCGCGCCCCCCGCCCCCCCCACCCCCTGCACCCTCGTTCCCGAGGGAAAAGGCAGGGGACTTGGAGGAGGAACAGGATTGTTCCCAGAGCAGGAGCCCGCCCTGCTGGAGGGAGCGCTGCTCACGCCCAGCCGGTTTCCCAGAGACTTTTCCACGCTGCACAACAGACGAGTTTAATGGGACTCGATGCCACCACAGTAAAGGCTGCATGAGGACCTGATTCGGATGAGCCCCCAGGGCTGGGCGTGGCGACAGGACAAGGTTGGGGGGGGGTTGGACACAGTGGCAAGAATTTGGCTCTTTCATTATTTCCTTTTAAATTTTCTTACTTGGGGACACCTGGGCAGCTCAGTCATTAAGCGTCTGCTTTCAGCTCAGGTCATGATCTTAGGTCCTGGGATGGAGGCCCCCGTGGAATTGGGCCCCCTGCTCAGTGGGGGGGGGCCCGTTTCTCCCTGTCCACCGCTCCCGCCCCAGCTTGTGGGCTCTCTCTTGCTCTCTTTCAAATAAATAAACAAAACCCTTAAATAAATAAGTCTTTATCTGAGAGAGAGCAAGAGAGAGAGGCTCGAGTGTGAGGGAGGGGCGAGGAAGGGGGAGGAGAGAGAGAGAGAGAGCGCCAGACCCAGAGAATGCGCGCAGTGGGGAGGGGGAGAGGGAGAAGCAGACTGAGCAGGGACCCAGGACCCTGAGACCGTGACCTGAGCTGAAGGCAGATGCTTAACCGACTGAGCCCCCCAGGCGCCCCGGGAAAGAGTCTTCAGCAGAGTCCAAGCTGAGCGTGAAGCCCAACGTGGGTCCCCACCTCACGACCCTGAGACCGTGACCTGAGCTGAAACCGAGCTGGACACGGAGCGTCTGAAGCACCCAGGCGCCCAGACTGTTGCTGTTTCAAGCCGTGACGGCAAATCTTTGACTTTCCTCCCACCGAGGGCAGAGGCTATGTGCCTCCTCCCCAATTTTGGGCGGGCTTACGGCTCGCCTGTCCCAGGAAAGCAGCCCGGACCAACGACATGTGAACTCCGAGTCCAGACCTTAAAGGTCTTGCAGCTGTGCCCTCGGAGCCCTGAGCCCTTTGGCGAGGACGCGCCAGGCGGGTGCCAGCCATGCAGGCTGCCCCCGACCAGACACACAGACACACAGACTTCGGCTGCTCTTCCTTAGGACCCTCCCCTGAGCCCCGAAACATGGGGTGTGACGAGTGATGACTGTCTGAGAGCAGAACACAGCAGAGCCCTGGAGGGGCCCAGGAAAGCTGACATCCTCTGAGTGCGCCACCCAATTCTTGGGCAGGACCCAGCTAAAGAGGCTGTGGGTTATGCCCAATCCCACTGACCACGTCCCCTAGACATGACACCACCTCACCCTGCCTGAACTCAGATCCCCAGAAATGAGGATGCCGCTAAATGGCTAAATAATGCTCAAGACGTCGGGCGGACCACGGAGCAGCTGCCGGCCGCCCTCCACAGGGGCCAGTCCCACACGGCCTGCGCGCTCACGTCCTTGGTTCTCTGGTTGGTGCCCAGGCACTTCCCAGCTGAGGTGAGCTCCATTAACCAGCTGGAGACGGCCCCCCTTGCAACCCCTCCCAGGCACAGTGCTCACACCTAGACCCGAGCACGGGCAGCACGGCCATGGCCTGGGCCCAAGAATCCCACAGTGCGCTGCCTGGCCTCCCAGCAGTCCCTCCACCCCCGTCCCCAGAGCCGTGTGGAGACCCAGGCAGGCCCCTTCTGCCCATAGGTCTGCAGTATGGAACACACAGAACGCTCCTTAGAACACGTGGAGGGGCGCCTGGGGGAATCCGTAGTTAAGCATCCACCTTCGGCTCAGGTCACGATCCCGGACTCCTGGGATCGAGCCCCGTATTGGGCTCCCCTGCTTAGCAGGGACCCTGCTTTTCCCTCTCCCACTCCCCCTGCTTGTGTTTCCTCTCTCAAATAAATGAATAAAATCTTCAAAAAAACAAAAACACCCGAACACTCCTGACGCCCAGGCACGATCGCCACATCTGTAGCTGAACGTGGGGAGCTAACCGACAACAATGGGACCCTGTGAGCAAAAGAAAACAAAATGGGAAAAAACCCACCTAAGAAAGACCAACGTAAACATGACAAGTGGGAACACCGGGTCTAAACAAGCACAGGGAGCACCTGGGGGGCTCAGGTCATGATCCCGGGGTCCTGGGATCGAGCCCCGCGTCGGGCTCCCTGCTTGGGGAAGCCTGCTTCTCCCTCTGCTTGTGTTCCTTCTCACTGTGTCTCTGTCAAATAAATAAATAAAATATTAAAAAAAAGAATTAAAATAATAAATAAATAAGCACAGAAGGGAAGAAAATGGGAGGGAAGGGGAGACAATGGCTTCAGGCACATAAATCCACCCAGAAGAACTCATCTAGAAGAA